CAAGTGTATAGTGATGGAAGGAGGCTTGACTTTGCGTGGTGAGCACATAATGCAATGTAAGGATGATGTATCATATATAATTTTATTAACCACTGTCACCCCAATAAATTTAATTAAAAACTACTATTCTATCCTGTCTCCATATCTATATCTTAATTAACCATGTGTATTGTCACCCTGAACACCATTAGCAGTTCTAGCACACATACCTCCCAGGCTAGTCCCCCCATGAAATAGCCATTGGATTCTCACTCAGAGACTCCTACCTCCTCTGGGAAATCTTTGCTGACGTCCCATTTTATAGGCACTTTTCTGCTCTCAGTTCTCCTTTCCATCCTCACTTATGCCTTCCTCCTAGAATTTATCACATCAGACTGTGGTTGCTTGTTTACTCCTTCACCTACCCCCACAACACAGAACTGTGGGCACCCTGAGTACTGTGGGCATTTTTTTTTGGTTCATTTCATAACAGCTTTACCTAGAAGAGTGTCATTTATGGATTCAGTAAGTATTTGTGGGTTCAACAAATTTTCAGTGAACATTCATGACTGATATTAAATGAATGAAGCAGTGAGACATTTTAAATAATAATTACGCTGAATTTATAAAGTTCCTATTAATTAGAGACTATTAATATTGTCCATGTTTCACATACACTGAATTAATTTTTAATGGTCCAGCCTCAAAAGTTATACAGAAGCACTTCCACTGTATTCAATTTCACAAGTATTCACAAGTCCACCCAGATTCAAGGGGAGGGTACACAGACCCAGACTCTTGATAGGAGAAGTACCCAAAATCTGAGGTCATTCTATAACCCCAGTAACCATCAGAGGATGATAGTGATCTAACTTATTATTTTAAAATGCACAAATAAAGAAAAAGATCACTTTTTCTGCTTTTCTGACACAAACTATATAAAGAAGTAACAAAATAATAGGTGAAGAAAAATTTCCCTTTATAAAAATACTAGAGACCCAGTGCATGAATTCATGCACGGGTGGGGTCCCTCAGCCCAGCTGGCAATCAGGGCTGATTGGGGCCATCTCACCCAGTCCCGATTGGGGAGATTGGCCAGCCACAGGAGGTTGGCTGGGGAAGCGCACTGACCACCAGGGGGCAGCTCCTGCATTGAGCGTCTGCCCCCTGGTGGTCAGTGTGTGTCATAGCGACCAGTCAACCTGTTGTTCAGTTGACTGGTGGTAACGGTCAGTTAGGCTTTTATATATATAGATCCCAATCACTAAATGAGGAATATAAAATTAGAATATTATCTTTTCAACTCCCAGTGAATGGTGGATCCAGACATTGATCATCAAAGACTATTTAAAAACAGAGAGATAACCAGACATTACCTTGCTATTTTGGAAAAAGAAAATACTATCTACAAAATAGTTTTGCAGTGGGGTACAAGGGATGCCTGATTCATCTAGATCCAACTATCAACTTAGAGGAAACAAGGACGAGAGAACATGTTAATTGATACCTCATGGTTATCAGCACAATTCTGACTCCAGGAAACTTTATAGGATAGTCTGGTTTCTTCAACAAATCAATAGGGGGAAAAGAGATGGGTGGGGACTTACACAGACTTAAGAGTCATATCAACCAATCACAATGAATGAATTTTATTTGGATTCTGATTCAAACAAATAGAGCATAAGAAAACAAAAAGCATATGTGAGACAATTGGAAATTTGAGCAGTGAGTAGATATTTAGTGGTAGTCAAATGCTACTATTTTAATGTTTTTTAGAGAAGATTATGTGATTGTGTTCATAAAGGAAAGTCTTATGTTTTTAAAACACACTCAAAAATATTTACAGATAAAATTATATAATTCCTGAGATTTTCTTCAACATAATATAAGGAAGGAGGTCATAGGTGGGGACAGAAATAATACTGTCCATGAATTGATAATTATAGAAGCTAAGTGATGGTACCTGAGGATTCAACATATTATTTCATCTTTGTTTATATTGAACTTTCCCCACAACAAATATTTTAAAAGCACACTTAATAATTCCCCAGGAACCTTGAAATAAAGTCAGAACTCCTACATAAACTCTGTAATGCACTCCATGATCTGGCCCGGGCCTGCCTCTTCAGCATCATCTATCATTCTCACTTTTCACCTACATTTACACTATATGAAGCTAATTATCACTCCCACAGAGGACTATGCTCTCTCATACTTCCAAGTGTATATAAATTTCCCTTTTCTCCAGAATGCCAAGTTCCATGCTGCTTCTCCTGGCAAAATTCATCCATTCTGTCACATTTACTCATTGTCAACTACAGGTAGCAGGCTCTCTGCTGTGTGCCAGGGAAGGATACACTGGAGTGATGGATATCTAGCATTTGCTACTCCCCACCGGCACTCTACCCTTCTTTGGCCCTCTTTTGGCCCTGTGAGACCGACCCATTTACACTGTATCAGTGGTTCCTCTGTCCTCTAGCTTCTGGTTAAACTTCCCCCTGGGGAAGCACCAGCAGAAGGTCTGGAGGATAAGAGTGAGATCACTGTATTTTCTGTCCCAGCTCCCTCCCTGCCAGGTTGGCACAGACTGGTTGCTTCCACTTAGCAAATATGACTCTCAGGTGATACTTGCCAAACAGTTCTCTTTCTGGTACAGGTGACTGCTTACTTGCTTTTTCACCTTCAGCTCAGGAATACAACGCCATCCATTGTTGCTTCTCATAAACCTAGCGCACAATTTGTTGAGTTTCTTCATTAAACTCTTCTCTAACTACCCAATTTTAGTCTGACTTTTCTTCCCTGTTCAGATGCTAATTAAACAATTAAAAGCAAAAACAACCCAAACCCCAAAAGACTAATGAAAAAACAGACACAGATATGGAGTGAAAAGTTATAGAAGATGATGAGTAAAGAATGTTTGAGAGAGTGATAGCATGTGCAATGGCCTTGGGGTGCAAAAGCAGCAAGGAACGTCCCAAAGCTACAGAGGCTACTTAGGAAGAAAACAAAGAGGGCAGTGGGGAAGAAGAGAAACGCAATCTTGCAGGGCCAAGAAAAGATTTAGAGTTTGATCCTGAGAAGAATGGTGAAGTGTCTAATATTCTCCCTGCCCTCCCAAGCCTAGGTAAGCAATCACCGTCTCTTAGATAATTATTCCCTGGCAGCTTTCTACCACACCGTTGGGACGAGAAAGCCCTGGCACATGGTACACATTCAATAAATGTTCATTAAACCAGTGAATAAATGAATGAGTAAAGCACACATGGCCAGGTCTGGAGCATTTTTGGTCAACTCCAAGAATCCGTCCTTGCACATGTCCATCTTGAACTTTATTCCTACTTGCTCCTGGCTGACTGAGTCTTCTCCTATAATCAACATAAAGATCTTTTGAGAGAAAGAGCTGTGCATGAGCTACAGTCCTGAAAATTAGATCAATCCCAGACCAATATTTTACACTTAACAACCATTTCATTCTAAATGTGGCAACATCACTATCTCAGGTAATGGGTATTGTTGCCAGAGTCACAATAAGTTATTCTGTTAAGTCTCAGTATTTTGAAGTGATTGGAGTCCATGAGAGGAGTAAAAAAGAGGGCTGTTCTAGTTTGTTTAGGACAGGAAATACAAGCTGCTTGCTTTCAAGCATAAGGTATAGCACAGTGGTCGGCAAACTGCGGCTCGCGAGCCAGATGCGGCTCCTTGGCCCCTTGAGTGTGGCTCTTCCACAAAATACCACGTGCGGGCGCGCACGTACAGTGCGATTGAAACTTCGTGGCCCATGCGCAGAAGTCGGTTTTCGGCCTGGGCGAGTCTATTTTGAAGAAGTGGCGTTAGAAGAAATGGGGGTACGTTCGCTGAGGTCGACCCCTCAGATTGAGGACGTTTTTAGCAAAGGCCAGCTTAGGAGTACCCTAATTAAGTTAATAATAATGTACCTACCTATATAGTTTAAGTTTAAAAAATTTGGCTCTCAAAAGAAATTTCAATCGTTGTACTGTTGATATTTGGCTCTGTTGACTAATGAGTTTGCCAACCACTGGTTTAGCACAAACCAAGTACTAACCAAAGGTAGCAAGTAGAAGCTTTATTTTAATTTGTTTTATAAACTAATAGTGTGGTCTGATTTACACCAGCAATAATGATAAGCATTATTTTAATTGGTTTCCTCATCATTAAATAAGTTGAACCACATGCTAAAACCTGCTTGAAATTACACTTACTCGATATAAACGTATTTTGTACTCAAGCAAGCAAAATGAAAATACAAGGTGATCTCAATACTGTGGAAATTGAATATTAATTAATGTCACAAAAGTGATGCCATTCTATATTCAAGAATTTTGTAATAAAGGAGATACCCATCTTATACTTAAAAAGAAAAGTTGAAAATATATGCAAATGACCACTTTCCTTTACACCTAAAAATATCAAATGGCAAGATTTCTGCATCATGCTGGGATATGTCTGTGACATAATGCTTTTTAATTAACATGAACACTTTGCATTTTTTTCTGGTAGAAAGTTAATTAGGAAAACTAACAAATAATATTTATTTTTGAAGCTCAAACAAATGTGAATCAATTTTCTTAGTGACATAAAGAATTAATTTGTGTTCTGGCTTTCTGCAAGCAACTTGATGTTGCATAAAGTTTATAAATTGATAAAGAAAAATTATACCAAAGTCCTATGAAATGGAAAAACTCTAACTGTGGCTAAAATACATTGTATTTATTTATTTATTTTACTTTATTTACCAGCCTTTGCCCACCTCTACCCAGCCTGGGCCCCCCTTCCCTCTGGCCATCACCACACTGTTGTCTGTCTATGGATTATGCCTATATGTTATTTGGCTAATCCCTTCACCTTCTTTTATCCAGTCCTTTCCACTAACAGCTGTCAGTCTGTTCTATGTATCCATGCCTCTGTTTCTATTTTGTTCTTCAGTTTATTTTGTTCATTAGATTCCACATATACGTGAGATCATATGGTATTTATCTCTCTCTAATGGTTGTATTGCTCACCAAAGAGGCCATGGTGAATCCAATAACTTCAATATAGCCATCATCATGACGCTGAGGTTCAAAATCATGGTGATCCCCTGGGTTCCCCCAGGGCATTGTGCCAGCACAATATCTGCAAGGTAAGATTAAGAGAAGAATTAAATTTATTCCATTCCTCTCATGACCATCATTAGGGATGAACTTATAGTTAGATCCAATGTTTGTTTCGTGGAAGAACAGTTTTCTGTTCCTGGTGCACATCTTCCAAAGGAAAAGGAAATGGACTCACCAACATCTTCAAAATATCAATCTGAAAATGAGCATGATCTTACAACAAAAGCATTTCACAATACCTAATGTTCTCCTAATTCGTTATTTATCAATACTATCACTCTATGGTCCACATATGTCTACTTTCTATGATATGCCATGAGTTATCAATGGTTGGTTTCAGAATTTGGTCTTAGAGGAAGACAGATGCATGCCAGGCAGTAGAAAAAGGGAAGGGAACTAAAGTGAGTAAGCAATCAATATTATATACATAACTAAGAGAATAAGTACCTACAGAACAATATTGTATACATAACCAAGAGAATAAGCACTCACAACACAAGAGAAAGGTTATCTGAAGAAGAAAGAAAGGGTGAAGAAGGGATGAAAAAGTGTATTAGAAAGGGAAAGGGAAATAAAGAAAAATGGAAAAGGTGAGGACTAGGAATCCAGAAGGGAGAAGGGAAAGGAGCAAAATGAAAGAGAGAGATGTACAGAAAAGAGGGGAAAAAAGAAAGTTAATGTTTCCTGAGATTCTAGGTCTTCTGTTTAAACAACTAAGATGAAAATACTTCTGGAATAGAATTGTAAGTAACTATACCAAGCACTACCAAAATAATCAAGGGACTATAATGTCATTTTCTAACCACAGATTTATATACAATTCTTGTTTTAATTAAATTCAGTCTAAATAGAATTTATTTGCAGAGTTTGTGTCTGAGTTGTCTTGTTTGCAAATAACAAAGGGTCACAGATCCATCCCTCCCAACATCTTGGCTTGGGAGCCTAGAATCTAATGTTATGCCACTGAGATATGTGCTTATTTTGAGAGTAGTTCATCTCAAACACCCCTTTCTCCTGAGGTATATAATAACACCAAAGTGAGTTGACATCCTGGCTAGAAAATCCTACTCCAATTGATCCTATTTTTTCAAAGCAATCATCTGGCAATGATTTTGAATGAATTCCATCCTGAAATCAGGCTGGATGGTTTTCTAACAGCTTTCAGGAAATGGAGGACAGGAATGTGTTCAAGTCTATCATTCTGGGGGGGTGAGGGATCAGTAAATTGACAATTAAATTAAATGTTCCAATCCAGAGGGGTGCCTGGGGTTCTCAAGAATGGATAAGTATAGACCACGAATGCCATATCATGCAAAAAAAAATTTTTCCCCCGAAGAAACAAAAAGCACTTACCACAGAGAATACTAAACAAACCAAGTAGGAAGAACAAAATGATCAAACCTAGAAAATTTTAGTAAGCCACTGAGAAAACCGATTTTCATTGTTTGTACCTGGAAATTTTCTATAATGACAACAGATAACCTCAAGTCAAATAGAGTTCACGTCAAACCAAGGAAACAGATGAACAGAGCTTACCTGGGTATATTTAAAAATACTATACACTGGAACTTCAGTTCCTGAATCTTTGGGGTGAGATCTGTTCCATCACACTGAAACAATCAAAGCAGAAAAAGCAAGGGTTTTTAAGTAGTCACAAGTCTAAAAAAATGACCAGAGAAAACTGGGTTGACGACAGTACATATCATGATCTTCCCGTTGCCCAATCTCTGCTTAAGTCAATGCCCATTACCATGACTGAAAATGAATTCTGCTCAGAGCTTTACCAGACACAAGAACTACCATCATTCTTAACCTTAGATGATTATTAGATATTCAATCTTGTAGTATCAGCATTAAAAGATCTAGAAATGCTTAAAAGACTAAAGAGAATGATGCTCAAGTTGAGGCAGTAGGGACCTTCCCCACAGTCTTCCGATTCAAACAATAGTCATGAATGTGATTTCTTTTGTTTGTTTTTTTGTGATTAAATTTTATTTTGAAAATGTTAAACACAATACTTTGAAAACTGTTTGGAAGACAAGCTTTTCACAATGTATCTATTATAAATTAACTTTATCTCCATTTGTGATTAGCTCTTGTAAAGTTAATCTCTTACAGACTTTGGTCTTCTGAGATCACCTGCTTTACTGGAGTTTGGACTTGACCCTGGGTCTCAACGGCCTCAGGCTGGCATGGTCTCAAACCTTTTTGTGTGGCTTCCCTCATCTTTAGGATTTTCCTCAGGAATATCCTCTGACTTTCAAAGAAAAGGCTTTCATTCCCCTTTCTCATTTACCCCGGGTGACAAAAGTCAAAAGAGGACAACTAGTCACAGCTATAGACTTCCCAATGGCAAAGGTATAAGCCTGCTTTTATATTTGCTCTCTTTACACCCTCATCACAAAATTTCCCCATCATTTTCTCCAGTGAGGAAAGCAGTAAAACATGACAAACTTTGGGCAAACTTTTAAAGATTTCTTTAGGAGGAGTTGCTAGTGGTCAAGGGTGTCTCTCTCTTTTCCCAGCTGATCTTAATACAGCTTAATTTTCCTAAGCATTCACAAAAGTTGTTTCCAGGAAATCTCACAGTTCTAAATAAAGTATTTAAAATGCTATTTAGATAGGAATCATTCTAGACATTGATTGAAGGTGTTTTTACAATATTCCCTGATACTAAGCAAACATGAAGTCTCCCAATTTATTTAAGGACTTGAAATGAGTTGATAGATGACTACACCAATGAAAAAAAAGTAGGCATCTTAGACTATCAACATTGAGTGTTGTAAGCAGCTTAAAGTAAAAAAACAATAGAATGTGATACATTAATAGCATGCAAAGTAGTATTGTTGCATTCAAAAAAATGCCTGTAACTAATGTTATTTTTAAAAGAACAAGTTATATGACGATTGGGCACCTTATGATGTATCATGCTTTACACAGCTTCCTTAGATTTTATTGCATTTAAATTTACAACTCCTTAGAATAGCAGTTTTCAACTTTTCCCTTACTTCACATACAAAGGAAAATACTTACCTGTAAAATATGTCCTTGTGTATAAGCTTACATATTGATGTCAACACAATAAGAAGAAAACAGCAGTAGGGCAAATGAAGCCATATGCAGATTTGTGTTACTGTCCTCTGCGTTTCTGGTGTAGTATTTATACATACATTTTACATTTATGTAAGAGATCATTATCTATTGCCTCAGAAACACTGACTTTACCCTTGGCACAGGTAAGATGCTCTATTGTGATATGTACATCTAATTGTGCTCGCTTACTTTCCATCCTTGCTATCTCACACTCAAGAGAGCATACAGTAACCTCATTGGAGAAATATCCTCTGCATCACAGCACGATTATCAATAACTTTAAAGACATGTGTTGCTATGCCTGTTTTAAGTGAAGAAAGTAAACTTTTCTGGAAGGTTCGATGATTCCCCCACAGTCATATACCTCACACAAAGACACCTAGGACTGAATCCCAAATGTCCAGACTTAGTTTCTGTATTTTTCTCCTCATAAAAAAGGATATGATTACCCTGGCCGGTGTGCAAGGGGTTAGAGCATTGGCTCATGCACCAAAGGATTGCAAGTTTTATTCCTCATCAAGGGCATGTATCTGGGTTGCGGGTTCACTCCTCACCCTGGGTCAGGGAGCATGCAGGAGGCAACCAATCAATTTGTCTCAGATGTTTCTCTCTCTTTCTGTCTCTCCCCCTCCCTGCCTTCCACACTCCCTGTAAAACATGCATGTCAAACTCAAAGGCTAACATGGACCAAATAAACAAGGCATGTGGTCCACAGGCTTCGAGTTTGGAAAAACAATGGAAAAAATATCCTCAGGTGAGGATTAAAAAAAAATGGAAAAAATATCCTCAGGTGAGGATTAAAAAAAAAAAGATATGATCACATCAACCAATTCACCTGAAATATTACATGTACCGACTGATATTAAATCTTCCTTATTTGGCTGCCATGTTGACTTCTCTTCAAGATTCTTTTAATCCCTGCTAGACAGCCATTCATGTATCAGATATTTATCATCAAGAAGACTGGCAGGCATGGGAGCAAAAGTCTCTAGTGGTTAGGAAGTATACCAAGTTTAATTTCAATGCAGCTCACATGAACAGTGGATGTCATTCAAGATGGCCACTGCTCACCGCTCATTGGCTCTCTAGGGAGATGCTGTTGATGTTCCTCTCAATGTGAGAAATAATGGAAAGAACAGCTAAGTTCATTTGGGGCTGGCATGTAGGCAGCTGAAGAAATTGGGGAAGTTTAAAGTAAGGATCAAAATAAAGAAGACCCTTAGAGTTCGATGGACCATGTGTCTTTCTTGTGTCTACCTTTAAGAAGGCAATGTTTTTGTTTCCAAGAGTTGCTAACTACTAAAACATACCTGCTTTTCATTTTTACTGCATGAGAACTGAGACGTGATGCCAAGGGTTCTAGCACTAGTGGTAAAGGCCTCTGTCTCTGGTCTCAACTGATTTCAGGGATTCATGTCTCATATGTTTTACTGGGGATTACAAAATTTACAAATTTGCATCTTCTTATGCTCCTGTGTGTTCCTCTATATACCAATTAGCTTAAGCGCATACATCTTTATCTATTTTCATGGATATCTTTCATTCTGCCCCCTCTTGTTACATATTCTATTCTTAATCTTACCAGGATATATTCAAGCATTGTTAGATTCCCATTCCTTCTTTCCCATTTATATATGTTTCTCTCTCTTTTTTTTTTTTGGCCTTCACTTACACGATTATGTGCAGCACATTCATTCCTTCTTTTAACGTGATTACCACGAGAAAACATTTTCTGTATTTCTTAATAACTAAGTATATGCTGTTTTAAAACATATCTCCTAGAGAAAAGAGAACTACCCCTTACTCTCGCCTCCAAGCAGTGTGTGTCAAAACCTGGGATAGTGACTCAGGAAGAAACAGCACCAAGAAAAGAATCCATTCAGAGATGAAAAACTATGACCAGGGTCCTAGCTGGGTGGCTCAGCTGGTTGGAATATTACCCCACACACCAAAAGGTTGCAGGTTCAATTCCTGGTCAGGGCACATACCTAGGTTGCAAGTTTGATCCCTAGGGTTGGTACATATGGGAGGCAATGAATCTCTCTCTCTCTCTCTCTCTCTCTCTCTCTCTCACACACACACACAATAAAACCATTTCCTCAGGTGAGGATTAAAAAGAGAACTATGGCCAGGTTAGAGAGTGAGCAAAGCACTTTTCTAAAATGCAAAGTTCTGGGACAATCTTGGAATAAAGACATTTGTTTATTGAGCATCCCTTACTACTTGGAGACCCAGCTCAGCATCATTTCTTTACTGAAGATTTCTCTTGATCCCACCATGGTTAGCCTTCATTCTCCCTCTGTGCCACCACCCTATCACATCCACAGTTGAATGACATTTATTATATTGTTCTCCATGACTGAACTGTGTGTTTATTCAGGAGTGAGACCAGTCATCTTACTTATTTTCATCCCCAGCAATAAAGACAGTGCCCAGCACATAGTTAAAGGTTCATAAACATTGGCTGAATGAGTGACACTAAATGATCTCTGTGGTTCTGTGCAGAGCATTGATTAATCTAAGTATAAGCTGGTATTTGGGGTTCATTTTTTGTGGCATACATATTCATATTCAAATGAGATGAGTCAACACATTCAGTACTTACAACAACTTTAACGTGTTTGGATAGATCTCTAGAGCTTCTCTGTAGGAAATCAGAAAATGCTGCCTATACCACAAGGAAATAAAGACAAAAAGCTTAATTACACGGTTATGCCAAATCCCTGCTTCTGTATTATATAGTTTCTAATGATGCTAAATAAGCCAAAATATAATTTGATGAATCCAAAATAAAGCAGTGCAGTGGCTGTCAAGTTGAAATCTTTTTGTTTTCAAACTATAACTTATAAGAAAATGTAAGATCACAGTAGGAGAGTGAAAAATTAGATAATTCCGACAGTCAGTTTAAAAACTTATTTTGACCCCTGACTTTGACTTCTCCATTGACATCCCTGAGAATGTCTTGCTTCCTCACTCTGATATTTCCATTCCCTCTACCCAGTGGTATAAATTTAAACCACAATTTTTTCTAATATAAATATTTTGGAGGTATTTTTTTTCTTTCCAGCCATTCACCCCCAGGTATGTCCTTCCACAGGAGGAGAAAGAAAAAGACGCTGCCCCTTTAATCTCATATACACTTCCATAAAATATTTCCGTGCTCTGCCAATTTCTCATCCAAACACTCATGCATATGGACCCCGGTGAACACTGCATTCTTACCCAAGACTTCCCATACACGTTTCAGTCTACCTAATTTCCCATTCTCTAGGTTGGCTCTGATGTTTGTTTCTCACATTACTCATTGGCTATCATCCCCTCAGAACAACATGGAGTCTCAGAGCTTTTCAGTTCAACGATGATGGGCACCAGCTCTCTCTTTGCCAACTAACCTAAGACAGACATCCTTACTTTTCTTCTTAAACCAACGTATTAAACATGAACCATACATAGCCCTACATGAAAACATCTGAAATGTACTAGTATATGCCATCATTTTAGTACAGTTAGCATCAATATGACCAATAGTGAATTAGCGCTAAATGATATGTAATAATTTATAAAATAAAATATATACTTACCCCTGCATAGAACATTTTATTTCGAAAACGACTGTTGAATTTCTCTGGATTTGCCTCTGTGAAAGGAAAGGGGTGGTTTTGTTCTGGAGACCTTACTGAAGGTAGTGACTTAGACTGGCATCCCTACTTCCTCCCCTCACAGATCCAACAGACCCACCAGCTTCATTATCATCTTCCCCTTAGTTACAGGCAGAGGTCATCGTTGTCCAGTGAAACAAAATGTAGCCACAGATTAACAGCATCAGCATCAACTGGGAGATTGTTAAAAATGCAAATTATTGGGATCTATCCCATACCTGTGGAATTAGAATGCCTGGGGTGTGGGGTTTAGGACTCTGTGGTGTAGCAAGCTCTCAGGTGATTCCCATGCACAGTGAAGGTGGAAACACTCTGGGCTCTATTCAGAATAGAGCATGGGCAGGGATACAGGAATGGGGTGTTGGGGGAGCGAGGAGGAGAGGGAGGGGGATTATTTGTTTTGACCTCCATAGGTCATGGCTTTCATAAACTATGGATTCCGCTTCCAAATGTAATTAAATATGGGCAATTCAGACAAAAATTAATGGAGAATTTGCTTTCAGATTTTGCAAAAACTACCATCTGCACTCTTATTTGCGACAGGCCTTGAAAAATAACTTGAATTAGTGGATACACACACACACACACACACACACACACACACACATCACTGGCTGAATGGACACAGGCCATATGACAGCAGAGGTTCTGGCTGAAAAATGGTTTAATTTTAAGTTTGCTCCTATATGTTATATATGTTGAGGGAAGAAAAAGATTAAACAAGAATCTGTGTCAGAGAATTTTCATATGAATTCAAGGAATTTATAAAATATCTAAATGGGATATTATTTTCTTACATTCCTCACTGCCGACTTTTGCTGTCTGCTATTTTACTCAGCATGCTCATTAATCCCTTCTCAGGGTTAGGACTCCTCCAAGTCATTTTTCATTAGACTGGCTGACTAGCTAAAACTCCAAGTCCTAACCCTATTTTTGAAGGGCAAATCCCAAAAGTTGTTGTCTAGGTGAAGAAAAGTAGCAGAGTTCACTCACTAAGACTGGGTTGAATAAAAGCTACAAAATCTCAGGAAATAATTCTGGACAATTAATTATTAGATTATTTTTATGATGTGACAAATATTAGCATAAGACATAGAAACTGAGTTGAGGTTTGCAAACATCAAAAATGTGGTATTTTTATAGATTGGTTTTTGATAGTTATATTCATCTATTTACAATTCCTGTATTTCAAACCTCTCCTTAACCATTCACTCTCTTCTACCAAATTAAGTACTATAGCCCTAGAAACAAAATAATAGAAAAGGTATAAGGTTAACTTATAGGATATAGTAAACCAAAACAAGGTAAAAATGATGCTAAGTGCTCTACCGCCTTGATCCCCATTGCTGGCCACAGAGTTGACCATTTCTATGGTCTGGACCTTCTTCAGGATGAAATTGACTGCTGAATGGCATGTTGTTTTTAACCTTATTGACCCAGATTTGGCTGGGTACCATGTTCAGTTGCATTAACTCTTGCTCTATGGAATCAGAGGCAAAATGAGAATTTTCATTGCCATGCAATTTATTGTAGGTACATAGGTCCTAATTTTAAACAAAATCAGATCCAGCTATTGAGCAAGTTATAATGAGAAATGGAAAATGACACCCACAGTCCTGGCAATGAAGTTTTTCAGGGAAATGATGTCCAACGCTATTAAATGAATCATATACCAACTATTAACATTTACTTTTTTACTAATGTATGGTTTGGAAAATATCCACATCTTCATGAGGTTTTCCTATGAGTCTTGAAGAACTGAAAACACTTTTTTCCTTTAAAAAAAAGTGTGTTTTTTTTCTCTCAAGAGATTGAAAATGTTCTATAACAGCGGTCGCCAACCTTTCAGACCTCACAGACCACCAGTGGCCCGCGGATCACCGGTTGGCAACCGCTATTCTGTAAGACCCAAAAAGACTAGAATTAAGAAGTAAACCGAGTTTTTGGTGATTTTACTCACACAGTTGATTAAAACAGTCACCTCAGGTCTAATTTAACTGGATAAAAGCTGATTATATATATATGTAATTATAAAAACTAGAGGCCTATCAGGACACTAGCATTTAGAGAGGTGTCAGAAAGACACATAAAAGGACACATATAGTATGATTCCATTGATATGAAATGTCCAGAAGAGGCAAATTTATAGACACAAAAAGCAGATTAATGGTTGCCAGTGGGTAAAGGAAGGGAGAAATGGAGAGGTACTGCTCAGTGGGGACAGGGTTTCTTTTTGGGGTGATGAAAATGATCTGGAATTATATAATAGTGATGGTTATACAACATTGTGATTATACTAAAAACCCTGAACTATATACTATAAATTGGTTATAATGGTGAATTTTATGTTCTGCGAATTTTTACTTCAATAAAAAATATTAATCTGAATACAAAAAATAAAGATATAAAATAAAGAGGTAGGGGAGTTGGCCTTGGGGGTAGGAAATGTGAGAGGTATATTCTATTATTCTCTCTGCTCCATCCCATACATTATATTGACTCCCAGGCTGAGCCTGCTTTGGCAATTGGACTCTCTTCCCACTTTTACATCTACCCTACTCCAAGCACAAATCAGACTGAGATGCAAGGTTGGCTGCAGCTAAGGGAGATGTTTGCTAGTGTAAGAGATGTGCCAGTCCCTACAGAAGTCAGGCCAGACAAGAGCCAACAAACAACAATACTCCATCATTCTGGCTATTAAAGGGAAGGGGTGGAGTGGCTGAATATGTGCCTGTGTATGCATAGAACTGATGTGACTTTGAGGAGGACCAAGGAATGTGAGCCCCACTATATCAAGGAAAGGGGGCATACAGAATTGGGAAAGAGCCAGCAAGAAAGTTTAAGAGCTCTTGCTCCTTAAGGAAGTTGTGTCTGTTAATTGGTATGAAGTCAACCATGAAAGGCCACTCTCAAGAAAGGCAATGATCCTCAAAGACCCCAATAGTGGAAGTACCCATGGTTTATGGCTGCAGTTCTTAAATTTCATCCTCCTCTTCCACAAGAGGGTGTGAGATAGTGAGATCCAAACACACTGTGTATTTCTATGCCATTAACCTATTTACAATCTGATTGGATACCAATATTAATTGTATTAGTTTCCTGCACATTTGATAGCTTAAAATATTCATTGATTTTCTTACAACTCTCTAGGTTCTCTCCTGAGTCCTCTGCTTAGGGTCTTACAAGGCCAAAATCAAGTTGTCAGCCTACAGAGTTCTTATTGAGCAGCTCTGGGAAGGATTCACTTCCAAGCTCATTCAGGTTATGGACAAAATCTATTTCCTTGCAGCTGCAGTAATTCTTTTTCCTCACTGGCTGTTGGCTAGGGTACATTCTCAACTTCCAGAGGCCTCTTGCATTCCTCAGCTTATGATAACCTCTCCATTGTCAAAGCCAGCAAGGGCACATCAAATCCCTCTCACACTTTGAATCTGACTTCTTCTCCCAGATCACTCTGACTTCCCGTTCCACCTTCCACCTTTGCATTTAAAGGCTCATGTTATTGCATTGGTCCCACTCAGATAATCCAGAACTATCTTCCTATCTTAAGGTCAGCTAATTATTAACCTTTATAATATCTACAAAATCACCAACAAGCAGGAACCAAATGGCAAAAGTCATGGTGGTCAAAATACCTACCATCATGCACCCTATAGCCCCCATGATCCACATCCTTCATGTATGAAAAATACATTCACTTCCTTCAAGGTCTCCAAAGGTTTCATCCCATTATATTATCAACTCAAAATCCAAAAATCTCATCTAAATCTCATTAGCTCCAACTTCCCAAATCCCATCATCTAAATCATCAAAATGACTTGGCTCTGGATGTAATTCATTTATAATGATGATGAGGCTCTGGGTACACTCCATTCCATTGATTTAACATATTAATTTCATCCTTATGCACAACACAATGATATGCGTGCCATCAGAATGGGATCCTAAACCCTATTTCTGCTTGTAATTGGTCCTGCATATTAGGGAAATGTTCATAAACATGAGTCCAACACTATGTTTATAAAAATCAATAAGCAATTTGAACCCTTTATAACTCACACATCTTTTATACTCTCTTCATCAAATACTTATCCAATTTTAAGACTTCGGTTAGAGATACATAAATGACTCCAAAATTTATGCCTATAATAACATTGGCATCTTCAATTTAAATTGTGTATTTTTTTTAATCTTTTTTTTCAACATTATTTCCCATTCAGGGCATTTTTTTTAACAGCATTATCTTCATTTTTCTAACACCATCACAAAAATCTTTCATTATGTAATAACTGGTCATGTAACCTATCTCTATCACAAGCTCATTATCCCTCTGTACTTTTTCTTTCCTGTCTGAAATGCCCTCACCTATTTATTTCTTGTCAACATCACACTCCTCCTTTCTCTTCCTTTATCTATCCTCTCTGGAAATTTTCCTCAGGCACCTTTCCCCTGACAACAGTCGCACTGAACTCCAGTGTTATTTACTGCCCATACAACTAATCGTGCCCTTACTATATATGCCTTTCTAGTGTTATCTTTTGTATGTGGGTCTATCCCTCCAATTAAAATCCCATTCCTGTAACACTTATTGAGACAGTCACTGGACTAGGCACAGGGACCACTGTGCTGTACACCTGAAACTAATAAAAAATACTATTGAATGTAAACTGTAATTGAAAAAAAAAAGAAAAAATGGGTTAAATTATTTGATTAGAATACTGATTTATTTGTTATAGGGAATACATGCATACATGTAATAAATTCATAACTATGTGTTCTGATGGAAACATACTATAATTCAGATAAATTAAGCAAAAGATGATTTAAGAGTTTATTATATTTAAAAATAAACTATATTCTTTCATAGCTGAAAAACAAAGAAAGGAAGGAAGGAAGGAAGGAAGGAAGGAAGGGGAAGAAGACATTGTCTTATGCCCTCGTGGAATTTAGAGTGGAGGAGACAGGTCTGAAAATGAAAACTAAAATGTCATTTTGTATGTGCTATAAAAATATGTCTGTATGAGATGAAGTGACCGTTACACATAAAGGAAATGATCAGAAAAGTGTTCCAGAAGCAGGTATACTTGAATCTTGAATGATGAGTAGGTACCACGCAGAGGTTCAGGATGGAAAAGAAGGTTACATACAGAGACTCTCACACAGTGTGAGTTTCTCAAGGGCAAACTATACTTGAGCCTTCAAGTCTAGACAAAAGCTGGAAAGTGAGTCCTTTGCAGTGACCATAACAATGAAATTCAGCAAGCCATTGCAAACAAGACATTTTTAAAAGAAATCTGCCAGTTCTCTCCATGAATCATGAAACATTCATAATCTTTTGAAACATGCAGATCTTCATGTCTCTATATATTCAGTGGAAATAGTAACTCCTAAATCAAATTTAAATACTGCCTCCTCTGGAGTCATAATTGTATGTCCTTGACCTTATAGCATAAGGCTTGACTCCTCTGAATAATAATTTCAATGAAGCAGAAAAATTTAAGCATCCAATCTCAGACTGAAAGTTTGGTGTTGTTTAATATCTTTCATGTCCAAAGCAAATGACAATCTAGTTCATACAGCTGGCAGGGTGAGATCTGACTTTGCCGCCTGATGCCCATAATCATTGTTAACATCCCTATACATTATATGTGGAAATATTTTCCATGTATGTCCTCAAGCACTGTCATAATGCAATAATGATCGAAGTACTGGACAAGACTCCCACTGAAAATTTAATGACCAACCCTACTATATCTCCAAATTCTATTCAAATGATTAAACTTTCCCAGGCAGCAACAATTCAACCATGCACAGTGGTTGAGAAGAATAAGAAAGCATCTGTTTTCCAATCAAATGAAGCATACCATCTTTCTGATCCAGCAGTTCTCAACCTGTGGGTCGAGACCCCTTTGGCAGTCAAACGACCCTTTCACAGGGGTCGCCTAAGACCATCCTGCATATCAGATATTTACATTACGATTCATAACAATAGCAACATTACAGTTATGAAGTAGCAACGAAAATAATTTTATGGTTGGGTCACAACATGAGGAACTGTATTTAAAGGTTGAGAACCACTGTTCTGATCAAATTATTCAAATATTTCCACTCTTTATGTAAAGTAAATCAAAGTGTTAAGACTATATTAATTCCTTGTTTGATTTTCTACTGATAATTCTAAATGCATTTATTTATACAATAATTCCACCAATAAACTTTCTCAAAATAAATGTCACTTTATTTGTCCCTTCTAAAAGAAATATAATATAGGTAGCAATGCTAAAATCTGCATCTGTCCCATATTGATTTGAAGGGCTATTTTACATCTATGCCAAAAAATTGTTTGCATTTACATTTTTTTAAAATTCTAACATAGTGAGATTTGTATCTATTTTCTATTTCATGTAGGCTGGTTGGCATGACTCCCAACTTAAAGTACTATATTATTTTTTACTGACACCTAATAGGTTATTCTATCCAAGCTCATTTTTACAATGGTTCTCATGAGGTTTTCAGTCACATTCCAAGTATTTTATACAAACAAGTTTTATCATGAAGTCTCAAACTGTGAGTGGTTGTGTTTGAGAACAGTTTGAAGTCTCAACTATGAGTTTTGTTTGGCTTGAGAACAGCCACTCATTACCAAGAAAAATAAGTGAATTCACCCTTATTGAAAATGTGGCCTCGCTATCCTTTTCCTTCTGCAGCCAAGCTTGAGATGTCTTGACTATCCTGGAAAGTATATGGCGAAAATCCAAACCAACAAAAAACAATTTTAAAAGAAGAATATTAGTGTGACTAATTATACTTTTTATAGTAAATAATGATTTTATTTAATGCAAAAAAATGAATAGATTAACAGATACTAAGAAGCTCACATCCCTGGTCTAAGCATATCAACCAAATCCGGTTGCAATATTTTGTGGACATTTATTTTGTACCAGCTGTGTATCATCTTCATGAATATTGTAGCTATTACTCTTGGGTGACATTAATTCTCCCTTATCAGCTTGCAGTGGCTGGTTTTCCTCAAGGGCTCTGGCTTACCTGCAGGGCAAATGTTTCATATCACATGAAAGCACTTAAACTAAGCCTCGGAGATAAACTATTCAAAAAGCAATGCTTGGTATCTTTTAACCAATACATTTAAAACTATGTATCTATACATATACACCGCAATTTGCATATTCCTCTCTAAAATGAAATAGTCCCATAGCTTAAAATAAAATAAAATAAAATAAAAAGTCACTTTCCTGCAAGAATTCTCTTCTAAGCTTGGTCCTTCTACCTTGATGCCCCATCTCATTCTGAAGCACAGAAGTGTCATCATAGCATAAGGAAATGTATCAAGAGAACTTCCAGATTAATTAGGCCAAATATTAGTTTCCCTTGAATGAGCTCATTTTCGGGCACTTACTCACTTAGGCCTCTTTTCATGCCAGAATGTCTATTTTGGGAGATTCATGTATTAATGAATTGTATTACTTTATAAGTATTGCTAAGAAATTAAGTATTTTATTAGGAAGCCCAGATTCAGGGTCTCCTGAAGAAAATGAGGAGGAAATATGGGGTAAGAAATGGTCAAAGGGATCTCTATTTAGTTCCCCAAATTAAATCCTGTGCCAAATAAAAGCAATAGTGATTAAAGAGGGGCTGTAGTTTGGTCGTTCTCTCTGATTAGCCTTGTACTATTATGCTTCTGATTTGGGTATTTGCTATCTGTGGTTCTGTCATCAACCAACCTTTCTAGCTGTGATTTTCTGGCTAATCAGAGAGAACAACCATCCTACAGCCCCTCTTTAATCACTATTGCTTTTATTTGGCACAGCATTTGATCCTTGAAGCCTCATGAATCCAGGAAGAAAAAGTTTACCAAAACTGTTGAATTCATGAAGAAAAGTATAGGTTGGGACTTCACTATTAGTTTGAATTCTAACAGCCTTCATCCTATTGCTGCACTATTGACCTTTAGTGCATAAGAGAGTGATCAGAATTTTCCCTACGTTATTACTGGAACAGGAACATTTAAAATTCTAGCTTTTAGTTCCCTGTTTTTCAAATTCTATGAGTTAAAACCCACATATGCTCTTGCAGAATCTGGAAAAAAGGTCAAAATAATCCCTCATTTGTGACTTTTATCTTGCAAATTTCTTACTCCCCTACAGCTTAGCAGTATTTTGGTTATATATTAACATATTGACAAGGGACTAGGAATAGTTATAGTTATGGATACAGGCATAGACAGAGATGTGTACTATAGTTATATTAATAAGAGAGCTTCAGAGAGAAAAAGAGAGATTAATAGAAACTGAGAGGATTAAAGCTTCAAAGCATAAGCAAAAATCCTCAACTTTCTCAGTTCTAAAGACATAGGGAAGTTCTGATGAAATGTTTAACCACATCATTATTTCTCTTTCAAAAATCGTTTTGCTCCCCCAACCCTTGACTCCATCTCTATTGGTACTTAAATGACCACTCTGCCTTATTCACTCCCCTATCTCATCTGGTGAGGATTTGCAGCACCTTCCCAACCTAATCCAATCACCATCACACCCTTTTCTTTCAACCCAAACCACCCACAGGCCCCTATTGTCCTAAAATGTCTAATGTCTCTTTTGTACACACAGGCAGGGCTTCTTTGTTTTGTTACCAGGTTTCAATGGCTCTGGGTTATTAAATGTTGCACCATAACAACTGGTAGCTTGAGAAGCTGTGAGTATCCCAATGACTTTAGTGAGAGAAACTTTATTATTTCTCAGTAGTTCACTAACAAAGTTTCTAGTCAACTTAGAGTAGCAATCCCAAGCACACCTCTGGTCTCCTCTCTGACCATCTTCGAAACCCTAACTAACATGGTCTCAGGGTCCTATTTGTATTAAGTTCCTACCTTGTCTAGCTCCCAGGGTCATCAGGGAGGTCAAAACAAAAACAAACAAAAAAACAACAACACGGAAGCACACTGTCGACACGTAAGTGATATGCAAACAAAAGGGAACATGCAAAACACCTGCTGGAAACTTCCTCCCTGGGAGATGGAAATGGAACGCTGTCCTCACCTCGGGATTCATGGAACTCCAGTGTGACGTGGGCATCAAATCCAAGGCTGAAGTAATTATTGAAAACATTCAGAGGAAGCTGCAACGATGAACAAGGTAGAGGTGGAGTCGTGTGCAACCATGCAGAAAGGAAAATAAAGTTCAAGCCGGACACCTGTCTCTGGGGCTATCTCTGGACTAGAGATCAGTCACAACTCCGGGTAGAGGTGTTTACATGGAAGGAATGGGGATGTTTAAATTAATTCATTAGTCAAAGCTCAAATCAGATAATACTCCCAATTATTTTAAATTTATAGGAAAGAAGGGATACCGATACAAATTAATAAATGAGAACCATTCCTAGGGATGTTGTAATAAGATACTCTTATCATGCAGAAGGGTGCATATTTGCAATAGTTATGAACAATGATTCACTGTTCAAACTTAGGAAGTAAATTGTAAGGATCATGTCTAAACCTACTTAACCTGTGGCTACACTTTTTTCAAGAATTATGTTCAGCATATTAATATTGCATCTTAAAATGAATAATGTTTAATTTGTTTGCCCTTTGCCTACTTTTAAAAAAATATTTTTGACAAAAGTCATATAAGCAATAAGGCAGTTGGAGACATTCAGCTATTCTCAATCTAGCGAAAAAAAGAAAAAACAGATATGTGCATATACATTTATTGATCAGTATTGCTCAGATTCCTAGTTTACCAAATCTGGTATGTTTTATATTAAATATATTGGGATAACATTGGTTAATAACATTAGGTAAATTTCAGGTTACACTCTATTGTGTGCTCACCACCCAAAGTCCAGTCTCCTTCCATCACCATATATTTGACCCCTTGCCCCTCTCCAAACCTGTATCTTTAATATGACTGTGAAATATGTGAACACAGACATATAGGTGCATACCCAACCTTAGCTTTCCTTCCCAGAATCCTCTGGGTCACTGGCTGTTACTGCTGCAAGCTGAGTAAAACAGAGAACCACACAAACTAAAATCCTGAATTAAAACTGCAAAATTAATGTGTTTTAGGCTGCAGGCAATATTAGAACAATTAGAAAAGCATTGGAAAATGTTAGAAGGGAAATAGTGATTCTTTCACTTTACCTTCTATAGCTCAGAGTGGAAGATAAACATTAAAGTAAACAGATAGGTAATTTTACCTCAGTTTAGATAATATTTCCAGATCATGATCAGAGAGAAATGCACTAGAAATACATGTTTAACCCTCAAATTTCCAAAAGTAAGTTTATTACAGTGTTTCATGTCCCCCTTGATTTTCTATTTGATGAGAGTGAGAACCTTGTCCCAATAAGAGAAAAATGAAATAAACCTTGTGCCAAGAATAGAAAATGAAATGAGAATGAGAGAGATATATTAATACGGAAAGAAAGAAAATGGGTTGCCTGGGTCTCTAATATAAATAAAGAATGAACCCCTCATAGCAGGCCCCGAGCCAGAGCTTATAATGATTCAGAGGTCAAAACAGCCCCTAGAAATGGTTATAACTAACTGGAGAACAGGGAGAGAAACTAAACACACAGAACAATGCCAAAATCATGTCTCATTTTCCTGGCTTCACATTTGAGAATGTCCAGTTCCTGTACTTAAACAAAATACCATCCTTATAATGACAGCAAGGGTTGGTGATCCTGCCAAGAACACAGATATGTTCGTCTCTACCATTTATGTTTTCTTGGCTACAAGTCTAACCCATGTCTTAACATTCACTGATAACTCAGGGGAACATCTGGCCACCATCCGATAAATAATATCCCAATTTAGTCTGTTATTAAATTCTTATCCGTATTTTCCAGGAAAAAATTACCCCAATTTCCTACATGTCTCTTCAAAAAAATCCATTTTCATAGCCTTTTAATTATCTGGATTAATGTTTCCTGGCTGCACCAAGAAGTCTTTCCATTACTTGAGCTGTTGGGAAGAGATTTAAATATAGACTCCTATTGAGGGCCTAACCATTCTAAGTTTAGTGGGGAAAGGGCCTTAACATTTCCATATGGTACATTTCTTTTTACTTTGGCTCTTTTCTACCCAATTTCTGTATTCTAATACAGTAGAAAGACGTATCATATTCCAAGACAATAAGTGCTATTTAAACAACATTGTGACATGATGAACTCAATAACAACTGAGCAATCGTGATATCTACCAAAAACCTTATAATTTCTAAATCATGGTTTAGGTGGAAAAAAAAAATAAAGACCAAGGCAAAACATGCTTTAATGAATTAAGTGGATGTTGGTTTGGTCTAAAATGCTCTCTGGTTCAATCTGTTTTAAGGCTGAAACTTCCATGAAATCTTGGTCTCAATCAATGGCATAATCCAATATAGCAGTAATGCTGGTTAAAGTACAAATACCTCGGCCTTAACCCTGCATTTAGTTAATGAAACTCTCTGGGACTGGGCTATTACGGAAAGTATATCTGTATTTTAATCTGTATTTTTAACAAGCACACCTGCAGAATCTTATGCATACAAAAGTTTGAAAACACTATCATAGAAAAGAAGTAGGACGTAATAAGGAGGAAGTGGCTACTTGGCGACCTACCAAATTTATCTGAAACTGAGGCCAGAACTTAGAACCAAATCTTCTACTGAAGCTCAATAAAAAGCTCAATCACTGAAGGAAAAGCACTAAATCAAAGCATTTATGTAGGCATCTTCAAGTCCCATGCAAGTAATGAAATCGGCTTAGTTAATACTACCTAAACATTTGGAACATTTGATATCAAGCCAGAAATCTCAGAAGGCTATCTTTGTTTTGAAAGATCATATTCCTAATGCTTCAGAACATATATATATATATATATGATGTGTATATATATGTATATATGTGTGTGTATATATATATATGATGTGTATATATATATGTATATATATGTGTGTGTGTATATATATATATTTCATTTTCTCTTAGGTTAAGAGTTTGCAATGAACTTGAAAAATTAGAACATGGATCCATGTGTTCCTGGTATGGAAGTTGAGGACAGAGAACAGCTCCCTGAGCACTGGAAGCAGGTAGAAACCCATGGGGTAGAATCAGTGGGTAATGTTGGACGCATAGCCCTGTAGCCATAAACTTTAACACTATCCTTTTATCTCATAGGAAGAAATCAGCACATGAATCTCCAGCCACAAATGTATTTCCCATGACAGATGCTCCCGAGTTCCTTTCTGCCGAAGAAAGAACTCTCTAACCTTACACACGCCATCTTCAAGCTCTTCTGGAGGCAAGTCTGGGTTTCTTTCCACATGGAGGTTCCAGCGATCTAGCTGTACAATTGTCCCATCTTCTACTTGACAGAGGATTTTGGAAACAGGTTCATCAGTGTAGCCCTAAGGAACCAACGAACACATCCATTGGCATCTGGAGTAGTGAACAGTATAGCCAAAGGTATTTCATGCAAGAAAGAGCCCTCTGCTACAGTTCTGTTTTTGTTTTGTAATTAGCAAGGCTGGGAGAGAGTAAACTCTTTTTTTCCAGGTACTTAGAACTTAACACAATAGTCACAGGTAACGTGCACAGAAATGCTAATTCTAGCTGGTTAGAGCTGAGGAATAATTTTTGCTCACACTGAGAACCAATAGTTGCTGGTAGGTTTAGGGGCTATGCTGGATGGCTGCTTTCATCAGAGTAAAAGCAGGACCCCCAAGGCCTCCTACTAAAGGGATTTGTGAAATGCACAGAAGTGTGTTTGGGGTTGGGAGGAGAGGATAAAAGAAACAAAACAGCCTCTGATAGACAATTTCTTCTATTAACACCCCATTTTACTTACCTCTCCCTAACCTTGTAGCAGGACACCATCCCTTCCATGACCTAAGGCAAGTCTGACAGAGGAATAGCCCTGCTTGGGAACTCTTACTCCTTGAGCATACATTACTGACAGCATGATTATTAAGGACTGTCAAGTCACTGATTGGATGAGAGGAGTTAACATTGATAATATACCAGTTGCTTCATGTAAACACAGAGCGGGGCAAACGTAGGTCTACAGTTATTCATATGGAAAATAATTAATAAAGAATAATATAAGAATAAACTCTGTTTGGAGTACTCACAACTATAATCCTATTTTTGCCCTATCCTGTATTTATTATGTATACTTAAAAAAAGACCTATGGGAGGTTAATTCATTCACCCAAAGTCAAATTAGTATCTGAAGATAATTATCTCCTACGGGAAGTTAATTCTCCCAAAAGCCAGATTAATATCTTCTAGTATCTGAAGATGATTTTCATGGAACCCAGCCCAGGCAATGGTCTCATATGAACAGATAAAAAGCTGGTAGGCTGCATATGTTAGCATATTGTGCCTTCTTACTGAATTAGCACTGTAAAAAAAAAAAAAAAAGTAATGAAATGGCTGGTTGGTGACAGGGAAACTGCCTCCACTGAACTTGTCTGAAATTGGCTCCACAGTGCAAAGGACAGTCTGTTACCTGTAGAGTCAAAGCCATGGTGACACTGACCAGAGAAACCACATGCTCAAAAAAAGCCATCACTTTCCCCAAGTAAGCATTGTAAATCTGAGTCAGAGTTGTTATCCTGGCCAAGGCTGAGGGTCAGGATCAATTCAAGTCTATGGTTGTTTTACATGAAGACTTGAGGACAACCCACCCACTGTCTTAGTGCTTAGCTCAAAAAGCCCAGGCCTGTGTACTAACCCCGTTTTTAATCCTAAATGTTCCCTTCTTCTCTAGCTGCTTATAAGTTACTGGATAAAATCGTGGCTTGTGGGTGCCTTGGTTCTCAGCTCTAACTCATTCCCCTTCCATCAGAACATCTGTGGGTTGGGGGAGCCTGCTGCTGGACGCCAGGGGCCGCCCCCGAGAGAGTTCTTACCCCTCCCCAGTTGAGGGTCCGAGCCAGGTCGTTCCCAGTCCCCAGAGGAAGGACTCCAACCGGAGGCTGAGGGCTCAGCTGCAGTTCATCCAGAATAGAAAGGATCCAGCCCACCTAGGGACACATTGGGGGCCAGAAGAGGGATAAGAAAGACAGGTAAGTTACAAGGAAGACCACCTGAGGGGAGCGGCTTTAAAGAGCAAAATCGAATGGTCTTAGTTTTCTTTAAAATATATGTTTTTTGGTAGTTTTTAAAAAAATATATTTTTATTGATTTCAGAGAGGAAGGGAGAGGGGAGAGAGGGGGAGAGGGAGAGAGGAAGAGGGAGAGGGAGAGGGGAGAGAGAGAGAGAGACATCAACAATGAGAGAGAAGCATTGATTGGCTGCCTCCTGCATGCCCCCTACTGGGGGTCAAGCCTGCAACCCGGCATTTGCCCTTGTTGCAATCAAACCTGAAACCCTTCAGTCCTCAGGCCGACGCTCTATTCATTGAGCCAAACCAGCTAGGGCTAAAACATATGTTTTAATCCAGCAGCCAGGGAACAGAAAGACCACTTGTCTCTGGCAGATTCAAGGTGGCAAGTCTCTTATAGGGAAAAGGACCATTTTGTACATGCTCTGTCGTATAAGCAACGCTACACCCATTTGTCTGTATGTTTAACTAGAGATCTACTTTAAAATTTAGAAGAGTTTAAAATTTAGGGAGGTATATAGCATAGGCCACTGGAGGGAATACAGGACTTAGAGTCAGAATGAATTTCAATTCTGGCTCATATGGGCCCTGTCATCTTTATTAAATTATCTGACATCACTGAGACACATTTACCAGATTTTCAAAATGGCGTTAATAAGACCTACCTCACAAGATTGTTTGCAGAGAGAAATATATATAAAGCCCTTAACATGGTGCATGGCGTATGTAAGCACCAGTTAAATGGTTAATCTCCATAGTACCATCTTAGAAATTATTGTTTTTCTAAATATCCCCCTAAATGAAACATTATGGAAACATAATTAGGGCTGGACTTAGTATTTATTATAATTTTAGGCAGAAAATAGATACTTATGTACTAGAATCATATTGCTGTTTAATCTTTTTCTCAGATTTAATCTTATTACAGCTATTTAGGAAAATTACCCTAAATCTGAAAAGAGCAAAAGCAAACTTGAATGTTTCACAATGTCATACTAGAGTGGTATTTAACAGGCCTGTTTAAGAACTATATAAGTACAGGGTAACTTGAAGATTTCTGTCCTACAGAGAGACAAATGTTGAGAAGATTACATAAACCAACTTTGACTCAAATTTAGAAAATTATTTTGGTGTAAGCCACATAATCTCTTTCTTCTATTTCTCAAAAAAACAAAAACAAAACAAAAAACAAAACAAAAAGAAAAACCCAACAACAACAGCTTTATCATCTTGTTGGTGCCATCATTAAGGCACTAAATAGCTTTGAAATTAAATTTATTGGGGTGACATTGGTTAATAATATATGTAGGTTTCAAGTGAACAATTCTATAATACATCATCTGTATATGGCACTATAAATACATTTTTATGTATATTCATTCTATATTTATATGAGTCATGTCTTTTAAATATTTTTTTTAAATGGTACTTTAACAGTACATTTATTAGTTCATGATGAACAAAAACAGTGAGCATTCCATGGGCCAGTCCCTGAGCAAAGTTCTCCAGTGAACTGTCTTATTAAACTTCAAAAGGAGTCCATGAGATAGATGTAATTTTCATCTCCACTTTGTAGATAAGGAAACTGAGATTTGGAAAGTCCAATGTCCTACTTCATACCACATCATTTATGTGGTAGCTGGCATTCAAATTTAGGCTTGCCAAACGCCAAAGACCAACCTGTTAGCCTTTCTGGTGCAGGGAACCTTGAAATAAAGAACTAAACCTGGGTCTGGATATGGCCTGGCCGTCCTGTAGACAGTGCATGTACTGTTGGAATCTTTGGAGCACTGAAGAAACTTAGAAGTCGCTTATTCAAATTCAGTTAATTTGCAGATTTATTAACAGAGGTGCAGAGAGGTCATGTAATTAGCTGAAGACTAAATAATGAGAAGTGGCCGTCAGAGTCCTATCAGGTCTCCTGACTTCCATCTAAAACCCCTTCTCCTCCGCAATGATTACTTCCCAGGATGTAAAACATGCCTGTCTATCATGAAGTCTGACGTTGTGTTAATCTTTCAGAAAGGCATACCCAGTTTGGGGAACTAGAAATTCAGATCCACACAAGTGTGAAAAGTCCCTCCATTCCCCAAGATAGGCAATTTGCTCCTAGACAACTCCTTAGGTCCCGGCCCAGCACTTCTATATTTTACAGGCAATACGGACAAGGCTTGCTATTGAACATTGAAGTAAAAGGGGAGGAAAATGCCAGGTGCTAAAATATGACTGGTGACGGCTACATATTGTTCCTGTGCAGCTAAAAGCACAAACAAAACCCAGTAAAAGGAGGTATCTCCAATTAACTACCAAAAGGGGATTTAAAGGGCATTAAAAAGGATGTGAAACTCAGAAATCCCAATAATCGGGGATCGCTGACTGCAGACCCAACAGTCCTGGGTAGAACCAGACTCTCAGAAGAAATGCAAGGGAACTTAGTGGGAATCTAGTTCAACATCCCATTCAGAGAAGGGAAAAGAAGGCAGGCTCTTTAAAACTTCTCTGAGAGATGATCTCTTAGTCACCCTCTATGGTTTCTACTCACAAGTCAGTCAGTGTCTTTGGGGTAGGTTTAAGTTAGAAACTTTTTTCTTAGGTTTAGTTGAAATTTGTCTCTCCTTTCTCGGTAAAGAGCATGCTATGACTTCACACTTTCAACATCTCATTTCACTCTAGACACAATGAAAAAAACAAAACAAAACAAACAACAACAACAAAAACCTCTTCCTGGGCCAGAAACAAAGAAATCGCAGAGGTGCAAGCAAAAGGAAGCCTGGAGTTTGGCTTCTGTCTGATGATGAGGTGCACCCCCTGCTGGCAGGAGCCTGTGTAGAAACCAGGCTCCCTCTTGGAAATAAGAGGTTGGGATAAGAATGTGAAGAACCATGACCTGAGGCCATAGCCCATAGAAAGCTGTTGGGGCTGGAGGGATAAGGTCTCTGTGTAATAGTGAGCCCAACTTCCCACCAACTCACTGACACCCAAAACACCCTGACATGTCCTCAGGATGAAAAGTAGCCTCAGAGTCCTGAAACCATTCACACTACTAGATAGGGACAGGAAGTGATGCAGAGAAAGGGAAGAACCTGCAAATGAGCCTGCAAAGAGCAATTCTAAGTGACGGGGAGAAAACTAATACTTCCACGAGAAAGTTAGGGGATGCATGCACAGCACATTAAATACAAACAATTTGCAAATGACTTTGGAATAAGTGTCCTGTAACTTCCATGCAACAGAAAGGTGCTAAAAAATCTCATGGCTCAAAGCTGTCTATTATAGCTCTCCCTTCCCAGTAACCAGAAACCTGCTCCTGTTAGAGGTCCAGACAGAAGATTCATGGGCAGGGGCTGTGTCTGCTGGGCCTTCACATGTCCCCAAGACGTCTCCACCAGCGTTTCTAGCACCCCTTCAATTCAATGATTCAGTTAATTGTGATACATAGCACTTGGCATGTTTCCCACCACGACTGAAGGAAATTATCCGGATTGGGTGAAATCATGTTCCAGTTTGCAGAGTTCTTTCCTTCCTTTGTCAGGAAAAGTGAGACTGAAGGATCTAGAATAGCAGCTACGCCTATGGGCTTTGTCCCTGAGCAGCCCAACGGGCCACTGTAGCAGCAGCTGGCCTGTGCTGCCACCTGCTGCCCATGCTCAGCATTAGCTGTCCCTGGATGCTCCCCTAGGGCACTTGGAGCAGTGTTTTCATTCTGCAATATGCTAGCATCAGAGGTGGCTCAAGGGTGGAGAGGACAGTGAATTGAAGTCTTTGCACATGACATACATCGCATTTTCTTATATCACAGGCAGGAAAATGGAGGATACGCATACTGGGAAATCAGAGAAGACAGGCAACATTTCTGAACTCTGAAAGATCATCGAAACAGCATTTAACAACTGGGTGTCCCTTACTAACATGTACACTATGCTTCTGCCCTTTGATGTTTTAATTTATATTTGCACTGAAGAGTTTAAAAAGTCACCATGTGTTAAAGGAAATGGTTAAAATCAGCCCTGAAGAAATCAAGACCAGGGCTGAGGTATGAGCTCTTTGAAATAGAAAACTCACTTGTTCACAATGACTACGCCTGAGGTGTACCATGTGCTTCCTCCTGAGAGAGGATGGGCTACATCCCATTACGTATGCATGAGGCTGAGGCTGGGGGAGCAGAGGGGCTTGGCATGATCTGCTAGTCCCTGTCCATTAAAGGAAAATACGATACTTTCTTCCCTGCTGGGGCTGTAAGTCAGGGCAGGGGGATGCCTGCTGTTGACAATGTATCCTCATGTCTAGATAAGCCAACTGAACAAGAAACAAGCATGAAATGGGTGGCTAAAGTCAATTTAATTCCAGGCTTTTGGAAAGACATGAACATAGTTACAGATGGACCTGCTGACCCAGCTCAGCTCATGAAGGTCAGAGCCAGATAGCTAGGGACCATGTCTCACTGAGGAGCCAGCAGAAGAGGAGGGTGCATGTGCCTCAGCGTCTAGGTTCACGTGCCCTTCCATATTTAGGCCGGTGACAGCCAAGGAGAGCTGGATGGGTGGCGATGTGGCCCACGAAAGGAGAGAACACAAATTTACCACATGAACACAGAAATAATACTATTTCTAGTTTATACACATGAAGGCTGGAGGTCATTCTTGAGTTAGCTGAGTTTTCGCTCAGCTTAGAGATCAAAGGTGGGACCAGCTCATTTGCTGCTCTCAGCTATGTGACAACCTCAGGGTATGCAAACCAGGTACAAAGAGGCTAAACTGCAGCCACTGATTGAGCACTAGAATGCGGCTAATCCAAACTGGAGGCATTATAATTATAAAATACATGCCAGACTTCAAAGACAGTGCAAACTGAACATAAAGTAGCTCATTAATGATTTTCATATTGATTACATTCTGAGATGATAATATGTTGGATATATTAGGTTAAACAAACTGTATTATAGAACTAATTTCACCTGCTCCTTGTTTACCCTTTTAAAGTCCCTTCTAGAAAACTTAATATTTAAAATGTGGCTTACATTATAGTTCTCTTGATCAGCAATGATCGCTGCTATTACAATGCTACAGCTGTAAAGAACCTTGGAGACCCAAATGTATCCTTTTGAAGATTTAGAATGTCTCAAAATAAGTTCAGAAACCTGCTCAAGGTCACAGAAATAGTAGCAGAACCTCCTCTTCCACCTCCAAGTGCAACATTGTGAGACGCATCACTCTGCCTCCTTGCATTTGTTAATAACATTAAACTAATATTGGAGCCTAAGAACTTTTTTCCAAATTCATGCAAGATCTCTAATATTAAGTGATACTTTTTACACTTAAACTAATATGGTTAGTGGTGAATATTCCTCACTCTAATCAGTCAAAAATATTCCATTTCTGACCCCTCCTTGAACCTTGTCACTATACTGACAGAATTCTGACAGCCTCTATAGTGATCGGTATGTCAACTCAAGGTTAAATACCTTACGGCAAATATAAAATCGATGCTCTCAAGAATTATACTTCACTTGCCTAAAGCCAAGAGGTTTTTTTTTCACGCACCCACCAGTTTTTTTATATAAACTCTGCCCCTAGTAAAAATTTAAAGTTTCATGTTCTAAACTGATAAAAATTAAAAATACCAATCACATACATTGATAAATATTTCATAAACCCCATATCTTGTTCACCAAAAACCTTACTTTAACAAGGTAAAATAAAAGGAATCCTGCTGGGTCTTATATAAGTTACCAAATAAGCAAAATTTTGATTCTGAGACTGGAGTACAGGTGTCATTATTGACAAAAATACTTAGTTCAAAAGTATGCATCAACTCTAGAATAGATATACTGCTTTTATTTCAGGAAGGCCTGTTGCAAGGGACCAAAGTGTAAATGTCCAATGCATTTGTGAGTTACGTGGAAGGATGTGAAAACTGAAGTTAGGAACATAAATAAGGTCCCTAACATAAAAGAAAAGTTATATTTAAACCTTGCGGAATATCTGTTAATTATGGTACATTTAAAGAAGAAATGCTAGAAAAGGTAAGATAAGAAAAGTAGGAGAACCAAATAGTCTACAAGTCAAGAAGGATTTTAATGACACCATAGTGTATTCATAGATATTCAATGCTGTAATTGGATCTGGTTGCTAGGATTCATTAGTAATGTACCAAGTCCCACTTACTCACCATTCTGGGTTTTGTCCCAGACACTCTATTGAAACTCTTTTCTTGAAAACCACCAAATTACTTCCTAGTCTCTAAATTCAATGATCATTCTCTGGTCTCTCCTTAAAGATATAACCACGCCCTCTTTCTTAAAACTCCTGTTTTGGCTTGTTTTCTTGACAGAAAAGACTACCTTCTACTTCTATCTTCTCATTTTCCTTTCAAATTTTGGTTCCTACTCCATAATTATAGGTATTTCACAAGTGTCTGAACTTGGCTGTCTTCTCTCTTTGTCCTTTAGACTTTAAAATACTTACCTAATTTCAGAGAATACCTCAATACCATATAACCTGGAGCATTGCCTCCTACACATGCCTGCTGAGTAGAGGAAAGGAAGAAGAAAGTAGCATGGGGTGGGGGTGGGGAGTCAGGTGGTGGGAGATTCAGTGGGTGATGGGGAAGTTTGAGAGGTGGAGCATCCAGTCAATGGGGAAACCCAAGATATGAAAATGGAATAGGAAGCTGAAGTGGACCTGAGGTCAGAGTCATTTAAGAAAGAGGAAGAACTATGAATCCAGAACAACAGGCATATCCTCAGCTTGTATGCTGCTGTCACCGAGATTTAGAGGAGAAAAGATGTGAGTGGGATACTTGAAGCATATAGGAAGGCAAGTAGATGCTAAAATAAGGAAGACAACTGTAGTAAAAGGTCACAACTGAGTTTATCCTTTTATTAAAGACTAGAGGCCTGGTGCACGAAATTCATGTATGGGGTGCGGGGGTGGGGGGATCCCTCAGCCTGGCCTGCACCTTCTCGCAATCTGGGACCCCTCGGGGGATGTCCGACTGCCAGTTTAGGCCCGATCCCTAATTTTTTATTATATATTAATTTAATTAATAATACCTTTTTCTCCACAGAGGATTTGTTTGGATAAAAGTCTTACTAAAGATAGTTGGAAAAATTCCACACAATCATATTTCTAAATACATCTCCGTAAAACACTACAATTGATTGAAATTTAATTGGTATTGTGGGAGAAAAAAATTCCACGGTCAAATAATTTTGGAAAACACTGGGTTAAACAAAGTGAAATTGCCCTGACTGGTTTGGTTCAGTGGATAGAGCGTCAGCCTGTGGACCCAAGGGTCCCAAGTTCAATTCCAGTCAAGGGCATGTACCTTGGTTGCAGGCACATCCCCAGTAGGGGGTGTGCAGGAGGCAGCTGATCAATGTTTCTCTCTCATTGATGTTTCTAACTCTCTATCCCTCTCCCTTCCTCTCTGTAAAAAATCAATAAAATATGTTTTTTTAAAAAGTGAAATAGGTTTGGAATTTTTTGCTGTAAGACTTAATAATAAATTTTATAAGATAATAATGTGTATTTCAAATCTTGAAAGACTGGTAAACACTATTTTCACACACACACACACACACACACACACACAAATATTTTCCTCTCACAAAGTATCTTAAGGGACCGGTGGAATCACTTCTTTTTCCCCAATTTCATTTATTAGTATTTAATGCAAATGCAATGTTGCATTAAGTGCTCAAGTGCTATGAGAGATAAAATTAGAAGATTTCATCGCTACTTTGAGAATATTCTAATTAGAGAAATTAGAGAAGAGCCATACATAGTGCATAATAAAAGCCTGGGTTCTATGAGAGCAGACCCCAAATACAGAAGAAAAGACACTGGGCAGCAGAACCTCCATGTCATGAATCTCCATTTCTAGCCTTTGCTAAATATATCAGCATAAACAGAGGGCAAATGGAGAAATAGATGAGACACAAAAACAGAGGACAATATAACCATCACATTAAACTTCAGCCCAATTCCACCTCTTCTTAAAAAATGACTACAAATGAAACAAACAGATAATCTTTAAGGCAAACCAATGTTAGTCAATATTCTAAGTTTTATTTCCACTGGGAAAAAAATCACAATAAATCAATTGTGTACACCTAGTTCTCCTTAACCATTGTGACCAAATATTAAGAACAGACTGAAATAGATCAGTGTATATTTTTAAAAGAATTTCATCATCTATAATCTTCATTCTGATGATCTGACCACATCCTTACCTCGTGGAACAGGGAAGGATATAGTAGAGTTGAGGAAGTGAAACAATTTAGAAAAATCCCGTTTGAATCCATGAGACTAATAACAGAGTCCCTTCTAACCTTATGGGCCACGATTCACATGAGGGAGACACATGTTTCAGGGGGTTGGAAAGACTGTGAGGTGGGAATGAATTTAAGAGAACTGTCATAAGGCAAACAAAAGAAAGATGAAAGAAATAAGGGCGAGAACTGGATTCTATTTCGAGGACCTACCGTTCCATCCCCACCACAGGCCAGAATTCGCAGATTTGGTACTTTCCTATACAACTCAAGCCTGCAGAGGAAATAGAAGAAAAAGTTAACAGAAGAGCACATCACTTGCCATAGCAGAGAGAAAACACATGGCAAAAATGAAGGGTATCCCCTGTAGAAAATGTATAATCATGAATATAATAAGATCATCAAAACTAGTTACCAAGTAATCACAAGAGGACTGACTCCCAGCAACTGGATCAGAGGTTGGCAGCAAACATCATTTTTAAATAGCCAGCACTGGAAGGGGATTTTAGGATGTCCTAGACATTCTTATCCCATAATTCCTACTAATGTGTCAGCTCATTATTTTCCTCATTGGTTTGGCTTCCTTTCGGTTTATTCTTTTCCCATCATTCTCCCCTCTCCTTTCTCAAAGAAAACCATCATTAATTGGCAATCAAAAGGCCTTCTATATCTCCTCCTTATATTTTATTGGATCTATTTATTTTCAAACCTAACCTTCCCACTCTTAATCCTAGGAAACCTTTTTCAGAGAGGCAGGGGGAGGGTACCCCACTAGCATTACTGTTGCACCAACAGTTACATCTACCTCTCACCTCACTCACAGTCAGACCCCATTTATACACCTCAGTTTAAAGAGGGGAGATTTACTGATTTTTTAGTTTAAATTGGCCTGCTTAAAATTAGATCATTTTGTTTTTCATGTTGGCTCTTAAGAAAATGCAGTGTTACCACCCTGCCTGCTAAAATGTTTGCCTAAGTGAAGCTGTTAATGGCTCTGTTCCAGAAAGTATCAGCTATTTAAATCAAGTACTATTTGTTCCTGGAACTACTTCCTGTCTTTCCATGTTCTTTATGCTGATCTATGAAGCGTCCACCTAAAGTCTAAAGTGGTGAAATCTTAAGTAAACATCTAAAAGGGCAAAAGCCAGGTTACCAGATTTGCAAATCCAAATACAGAAAAACATAGAGAAGTCTCATAGTACCCTCTAGTGGCAAAAATGTTCATAGATTAAGAGAATGTAAGCAGGAATTTTCATATTTAACGTTCTTCTGCATGCTTAAATACACGTAATGTACCCTTTTCCTATAGGAATATTATTTCTCTAGAAATTAAGCTGATGTGTTTTTAGAGAACAAAATATATTTTATAACTGTGTTATGAAAAACAAAATATCACAACACAACGTGAAGCTGCTGTAAATTTAATCTGGCATCATAACTGTACACAGGGTCAAAAGCAAAGGAAAACAAACTTCATTACGGTTAGCAGGTCCCTATCAAGTCGCTGGTGTCAGAAGCTGATGTTTGCCTCTGGCAGTTACTTTCTTACTTAAAAAGAATTATTATCTCTTAAGTTATAAGCTTTATCAGATGAAACCCATTCTGTCTTACTAGATGGATTTATAAAGGGAATCAGAAAGCAGCACAATGTCCCCACCCTTTCCCTCCTCCAACGGGAAGAAATAAGATACACGTCACCTACATCTAGACTTGATTTTCAACACTTCTAACAAAAAACAGTGCGTAAAATTTCTGAGAAGCTCAGAAAAGGGATTGAGCAGAAATTAAAATGTCTCCCCCCCACTCTGATGTGAAATCCACAGGTATAATCAATGAATCAATCTCTCCGAGATGGAATGATCTAATTCAAATGTATATGAATATATTCATAAACAAATATGGCCCCTGCCCACAAAGACACACTGACATTCCCATTAATGTACACGTCCAAAGCTGCTCATGCATAAACAGAAAAGTGATGGATCCTCTCCATTCCCAGACTTGCTCATAATCTACAGTTGCACATACACACACAGCAAACACATAAAAAATGCTCACTGAGATAACAACTGTGAAATGTGCTCTGAAGGGAATTAACCCAACGAAGAGTGCGAGGGGGAACATGAGATAGAGTTTTAAGGGGAGGACAGTACAGCTGAGAAGGGAGGTGAGAGACAGTTAGAAAATGTCTCACAAGGCAACGGAATAACGAAGCTTGATGCCAGAGCAGGAAGTCCTTCTCACTTGCCTAAGATAGTACGGACCATGGAGGGTATTTCCAGACTTACGCATCTTTCGGCCCTTCCTGAGAAAGATCAAAGACTTGCCGTGGATTCAGGTACCACATGAACATCTGCAGGACTTTGGTTCCCTATAAGAAAAAAAAAATGACTATAGTGGGAAGAAATTTCCAAATATTAGCTGCTTATTTAAAAAATAAAACCCATTATCTGAAATAATACCTACTTATAAACAAATTAGAGCAGTAGTTAAAATCATGGTCTTTGGCCAATGCCCAGATTAGACATCAGCCTACCCGGTGTAACTCCGGCAAGTTCCTTAATTTCGTTAAGCTCAGCTCCCTCCTCTTTAATGTGGAGACAAGAATGCCTAGTTCACAGACTTGTTTCAAGGATGAACTGCCATACTGTTTGAGGAGCACATTACAGTGTTTCTCATGCAATAAGTGCTCCATAGATATTATCTATTAGTTTTACCATCATTACTAAATGTATGAAAATCCACACAGGGAAGATTACTCAGCTATGTAATTTAACATTAATTTTTACTTTAATGTGCAGATTGCTATTTCCTTTGCATAATATGAAATATGGGCAGTATCAGCTAAGTATGACTTTATTGAAAAAAATTTTAACTGAAGCAAAAGTATCACAGGCTCCCCGTTACTTAGATGACACATATATACCTTCTCCAGTTAGTGGTATCAAATCTTATTTGACATTTTTAAATTCCCATGCCTCTAACTCTTTGTCCAAACCAAACATTTCTGTTACACATGAACATTTTGGGAAAATTTGTAGTGTAAATGTGACATTTATAGAAATTATCATCATGACCAATACAAGGCATTTCTAAAGATGATTTCTTGAAGTGAATTGAGCAAAGAAGAAATGAGGAATCTTTTTATTAAGCAGCATCCAAAGAGCTTTCAAGATGGGTAAGGTGCCCTACTTAGATCATTATCAACCACAGCAAATAATATTTGATCAATAGGCAGAGTTTGTTGCTTACAATTATAGTTCCTTTATTAAATATCATGGTTGCTCTTTCTCAAAATAACCCTAAGTTTTACACCTACTATGCTGTATTTGAGGGTTATCCTAGTATGGTAGAACTAGCACAATATTTGAGTTAAAAGTAACTTGGGTGTTCTAAGTGGGTGAGCATGAGCATTTATAACCCTACAGAAATTCAGCATATAAAGTAGAAGAACAACGTGTACTTTTTAGGGTGATTATGAGAATTAAATGAATCAGTAATAGTTATGTATCTTGCACAGTACGTGGCACAAAATAGGCCTGTTGTAAATGTTAGTCCCTTTCTTTTTTGCTCCCTGCTAATCTATTCATTAAAATACACTTGAGGGTGTGAGAGCTAGAGTGTAGTTGATAATTATCACACTGTTATACCAGTTGTTACAGAGGCCAATGCAGGTCTTTTGTCCCAATTCCATCCAAACCTATAATTTAAAAGTTCTGCTTCATCATGTGCTTGCTATAAATTTAGCAATAACATTTTCTCCTTGATTATTACAACTAATCCTGCAGTTTCACCAAAGGACATAGTTTGCTTCGTGTAAAATTCAGACATAGGTTTAGGTACATAATACCATGTATTTTTCTTTCCACACTGCGCCTTGGTATCAAGTCCATTGAGGATTATCCCAAGTAAACTTTTATGTTTAAGAGTCATTTTAATGACAAACCAATTTACAAAAAATTTCCTAATGACTTGCTAGAAAATTAATTTTTCATCTTTAGAGTCCTAGAGCAATATGAGTTATAGATGTTAATTACTCTTTTCCACCTTTGGCTATGGTCGAGTGCATGTCTCAATTTCAGCTTCTTCTCCTATGCATACAATACTAGGTAATTAATATCTTCTAAGAAATAAAATTACAAGGCATTTAGAGGTTATTTTCTTCATCTAAAATTTCTCTAGAAAGTTTGAGTGACACCATTTCGTTTTTGCTCATTTTCAATTTGTGTTAGTTGGAACACCTAAGTGTCTCCATTTATTCTTTTGAGGAAGGGGTATTAAGGCTGACACATTTTGCACTGCACACCTCTAGAAGGCGCCACTGACATTAGAGCCCATTAGAATAATGCCCTCTGCCGTTGTGCGGGGATAACTTGCATAGCCTTCTTACATTACATTCAGTCATTATATAATTTCTTCTTTCAAAAATAATCTTTCTACAACATAATCAGCAAAAAAATGACGTGTCTGAATGAAAGCATTGCACTGTTTTAAATCAGTCCTGGTGGGTGTGTAGTAAAAAGATCTAACAGACATTAAGTCAGTTCTATTAACTCTGCTATTAACTCTAGGATAACCTACTTTCGGGCTTTAAAAGAGGCAATTTATTCAATAGAACGGAATGGTTTGACAAATACTAATTCACCAGGAAAAGATCAATTTCTTGCTTTCTCACTGTCAGTATTAAATATACTAAGTTATTCACACAACTGTCATTCACTAACAAGTCTCAATGTGCCAAATGCAAAAGATGTTCAACTTTTGTGTGAGTCTAGTTTTCTCTAAATGAGAAAATAGCTTACAAGTTAATTCCAATACACTCTGGAGAGAGTCCTCATACACAGTTGTAGATGTAATACCTCATTGGCCATAGAACTTTTTAAGATATTGTGATATTGGGTATTTCCCTGGAGTGATAAAAATGTTCTTTTCAGCTCCTGGTGTTGGGGAACAGGGTGGGAGAAGAGAAAACGACTTTCCAGAATATAGGTAGATTGTTTCTCGAGGGAAATTAACAGGTTTCAGCCACTCACCCACTATGTGCGGGGTTCGGTTTTTATGTGAGGAAACAGAAAGATGGACTAGACAGAGAAGATCTTTGCCTCACGAGGAAGTTTTATACATTATTCATAAATTAAAATACAATGACTTGGGAGTATGGAGAAGCAGTTAAGGATGGGTCAGCTCAAACAGCACATCAATCTTCATGAAAACACTGTCATTCTCATGTAGGCTGAAACATTGGGATGTTACTCAGGGAGCCTTGTCACGGAGCTATTATCACAGGTGTTATCTCAGAGTTATTATCATGATCATGGAAAAAACTGTCCACATAATAAGAAAGGCCCAAGGAAAATAAAAGGGAGTGGGAAGGAAGAGGTTAAGAAATGAGTACTTGAAACTGGCTTCAAACCACCCCAAAGTAATACCTAATTTACTTCATGAAAACGTATTTGGCTCCTGTTCTGTGCCCACATGGACACCCAAGATCTCAGGAGGAGGTCAATATTAGTTCATTAAAGATGGAAAATGCACCTGGCCGGTGTAGCTCAGCGGTTGAGCATTGACCCAGGAACCAAGAGGTCACAGTTCGATAGCTCAATCCCCTGTGGGGAGCATGCAGGAGGCAACTAATGGACAGTATTTCTCTTCTCTCTCTAAAAATCAATAAAAACATATTTTAAAAAAATATGGTAAATGTGATGGTAGAGATGCCTACTGACCAGTATGAGAGGCCAGAGATACTCTAAGCCTCAATTTTGGGATTAGGGCAGTGGTTCTCAACCTTCCTAATGCCGCAACCCTTTAATACAGTTCTTCATGTTGTGGTGACCCCCAATTTCATTGTTACAAATTGAACATAATTAAAACATAGTGATTAATCACAAAAACAATATGTAATTATATATGTGTTTTCCGATGGTCTTAGGCGACCCCTGTGAAAGGGTCGTTAGACCCCCAAAGGGGTCGAGACCCACAGGTTGAGAACCGCTGGATTAGGCGAAGGCTACCTACATATGATATTTAGACTTTGTCTTGAAAGATGAATAGAGGAAGAAGTTTTAGGATAAAGACACACCATAGAAAAACTATGTTCCATTCAGTCTTTGAGTCATGAGGCAGGGGTCTTGGGAAACAAAACAGCCTGACTTGTACACTAGGTCATGTACGCTAAGGAGCTTGGGCTTTTTTTTAACAAAAGGTAAGAGTCACTGAAATGTTTTAATTAGGGGGTGGACTTACATTTTGATCCTTTTGTCTGGCTACAGACTAAGGAGCTAGACATCCGGGCTCTAGATCTATCAAAGGGGCTAGATGACTTGGTTTGAGTCTTCTTGGCCACTGCTGTGGACTGAGTGTGTTCCTCCAAAATTCATAGGGTGAAATCCTACCGCTCAATCTGATGTATTAGGAGGTACAGCCTTTGGGAGGTGCTTAGGCCATGAGGGTGGAGCCATCAGAATGGGATTAGTGCCCTTATAGGAGAGACGCCAGAGAGCTCCTTCCTCCCAAATGCCACATGAGGACACAGGAAGACGCTGTCTGTCAAACAGGAAGTGAGTTCTCACCAGACACCAAACTGGCTGGGGCTTTGATCTTGGACTTCCCAACCTCCAGAACTGTGAGCAATAAATGTCTGTTGTTTATCAGCCACCCAGTCTGTGGTTACTCGGCTTCACAGGCTGAACTAAGACAGCTGCCCTCACATTCCCACCAATATTGTGACTTGGGGAAAAAGGGGCTTTCCACAGATTCATTGTTTGGTTGTTTCAATTCCATCTGTTTAGCTGGCTTGACAAGAAGATCTGAGACAGAATTCTGACATGTGCCGTCATCGACTGATTGCCCTTCTGCCCTCTTCCCAGCCTATCCTAAGCTTTAGGAAACTCTAATTTTATCTAAGCATAATGATTCTTGATTTATCCCCAGCTTGAGCATTGCAAAACGTAACATTTTCATTGAGGTTGTTTGAGTATTTAAAAACAGTTTGGGGCTCAAATATTTGAAGTTATTGATATTTTTTGTCTCCTCATTCTCCCCACTTTGGTTGACTTATGTAGAAGGGGCAGCCCTGGTCTGGGGGTGGCTCAGTCTGGGGAAGCTTGTCCACAGATGGTGGTGAGAACTTGGTCAGGATGAGCCTGCCCACAGACTGAACACCCCTTCCTACAAGTTCCCCAGGAGCTCCAATCCAGAGGGGCAACTCACACCATACCCTAACCTGAGGATTTCACATGGAACCGCTTGGAAACCAGGGTCTGGACCCCTCACCTCTCAGGACTGACTAGCTAGAATCACCCTAGTGGTCAGAGCACCTGCTTTACCCTGAACTTACAACCTACATCACTGGAAGATGAGAGCGTGAGGAAGAGATGGTGTAAAAGCAGGAAACATCGAGAGGTATCAGAAGGATCCATACGACTCAGGTAGAAAGATGTTAATGACTCAGAGACACCCAAGAAAAAGAATCCGATTTGAAGTTAACGCAGAGATGAGTGTAAGAGAGAGTGTTCATTTCTGGAGCCCTTGGGTTTCCATGCAGAGGAGGGGACTGTGTGGAAGGGAACTTTATCTTCCCTCTGCCACCTCTTGTGCACAGGACACACGCAGGGTGGATACTGTGGCCCTGATTCCACCGCCTGTCCCCTCCGATAGTGCAGATCCCAACAACGACAACAGTGCTGAAAATGTCTAAATCTTTTTAAAAATGCAGCATTTTCTCCACCTTAAGTGTTAGAAAAACAGAAAATTAGGGAGCATTTTCTCAGTCCATTAGGATTTTGTGTCTTGGCAATTATCAGTTTGGCTCAAAAAAATCACAAAAATTCTATAAAAAAAAAAGAAAAACTGACAATTATTGTGAAGCATCTGTTTAAAAGACAGGATTGTTTAAAAGACATAGAAGTGCTTAATCCCCATATGTGGTCATCTAACTAAGTTCCAACAAAGTGTTAGAAACTTTCTGTCCACACAATTTACTATAGGAAGAAAAAAAAGCTGTAGGTATTTTACTTGCCAGAAGATGGCGATATAGACTAGCTATATAAAGAACAGAAGCCTAAGCCAGTTTTTGGTTTGTTTTTTTTAAGTTAGAAGCCTAAGCCTCAAGAACAGAAGAGCAAGAGTGGGGAGTGCTTTATATGCAGAGGCAGATGAGTAGAGTAAGTCATGGCTAAAAGGCAAGAATCAGGATTTAACAACAACAACCACGTATTTCTGTATTGACTGCGTGAGCCCTCGCTGGGCAGTGTGCTCTCAGCAGCAGCAACAGCACCACCTGGGAGCTGGTTGGAAAAGCAGAATTTCAGGGCCACCGGCTGACTCCGAGTCAGAGTCTGCATTTTAACCTGATCCCAAGCGATTCATGTGTACATTCAAGCTTGAGAAGAGGGTCCATGGCTCTCAACATTGGTTCCACAAGAAAATAAACAGGAGAGTTTATACCAGTCAAGGAATCCTACTCTCACAGCTTCTAATTTAATTACTAAGGCATCACTAGTTTTTTTTAAAAGCTACCTAGGGTATTGTGTAGGGTGGAGAACCTAACCTCTTATTCCCAATGTATGGCTGAATCTACCCTCATCAGCAAAGTTAAGGGTGTGTTATAGCCCAAGTTCAGGAAAAGACTAGCCCTAACAGAGGAGTGAGTTCATCTCCAACCAGGACTCTTCCCTACTCGCTGCAGTCAGGGGATCAAGCTGTGCCTTCCTCACTGCAGATGAAATCACAAATATACTGTGCTGGAGGTCAGTGTGAATGATGCCAACTGTACATAAGTGATTGGATTTATTCATAGTTTTATCAGCATTTCACATTGTGCTTAGAAACAAGGTTCTTTGTATTTCTTAGGCTTAATACAGAATTCTATTTTAAATAGAGAGTATATAGACATTTAAATTTATGTAATATTCACTTTTACTTGGTTAGCCATACTTCTGAGCATCCCAGCCATTCTAGAAGTAACATCCTTAGGGTCATACATTTACAAGCCAAAATGCATTAAATGACATCATAAGTCTTTTGTCTCTAATAACTGGGCACTTTAAACATTTTTTAATATCTCCCTGTAACCTCAAGTTCCTCAAACACATCTCTACCTCTTTCCCAATAATGCTTTCCTTTCCTGAATGCTAATCAATAACAAAGCCACTGTTAGATGATCTGCTGCACAATCTTGATGCTTTACTTCCCTTTATGGATTCCATCCACATGTCATCCCCTAGTCCATCTGTCCACCCATTCATCTATTAGCCATCCACCCACCCATCCACTCACCAATCCATCTTTCCAAGTTATGCTTACGTTTATGTGAATAGCTTCCTGACTTACACATTCTCAATGTATCAAATTAATTCCTTAAAGATGCTTTCATCATATTACTCTTTTGTTCAAATTTAAAAAATATTTTAAATTAAAAAAAAACTATTCCCTGGTACACATCCAAATCCTCAGCCAAGTTTTAAGACACTGGTCCTAGCTCATTCTAATCTCTACCTAACACATTTTAATAATATGCATGCTCCACTCACCATACAGTCCTCAAAACAAATCATTTTATCACGACATCCGTTCTTCCATTAATATTGTTTATTCTTGTATAATTATTGTTCACTAGTATATACCATATACCAGAAATCATAGGTTCAAAGGTACAGCCCCTGGTATTTATTATGAAGCCTGTACTTTCAATGTATAAACCTACAGAGAAGGCTTATGTTGCAATTTACAGAGTGCCCAGGGCTACAGGGACATAATGCACAGCACAGTCAAGTCTGAGGAAGGGATCAGAAAGGTGCTCTTGAGCCTTAGAGGATAAACAGGGATTTGCCACAGTAAAGGAGAGCAGGGCATTGTTCCAGCTCTCTCCCCTCTGCCTAACTAAGTATGTCCATCTTCTGTTTCAGCTACTTCCATGACACCATTTCCTTATCACTCCCAAGTCACTGCTTGCCTCTAAAACCTGCAGCACTTGTAGTCTGATCCACTCAATTTAGAACTCACATGTAATTAATGTTGTCTGAATTATTCTTCCCATTGCCCCTTTTATGTCATTAACAGACAAGATGTCCTTAGGAAATTCACTTAAGCTTCCTTGAGCTCTTTTGTAATTAGTGAAATAGGAAGCAACATCAGATCATCTCTGAAGTCCCTGCCATTAATTATTTATACAGAGCGGGCTCCATCTTTACTGGACTCAAAGGCAGGGATCACCTGTGAGCGTCTGTATGCCCTAGAAACAAAGCTGATCATGATTTCCCAAGTGCATTTTACACAATGACTGCCATCATGAAACATAGTGGGCATGTGGTGCTCAGGTGGCCAAAATCATGGAGTCAACTACATTAGCTTTGTTTTGTGCCCCAACCTTGTCCCTGAGAAAGTGGTTGTCTTCTAAAGCTAGGGGCCCTAGGTGCTGTTCTTTTAACCCAGTAGTTCTCAACCTTCCTAATGACGCGACCCTTTAATACAGTTCCTCATGTTGTGGTGACCCCCAATTTCATTGTTACAAATTGAACATAATTAAAGCATAGTGATTAATCACAAAAACAATATGTAATTATATATGTGTTTTCCGATGGTCTTAGGAGACCCCTGTGAAAGGGTCGTTGGACCCCCAAAGGGGTCATGACCCACAGGTTGAGAACCGCTGCGGTGTTGGGAATTGTGTTTTTAAGAAAGCATTGCAGCTTCCAAGTTAAACTCATCAACAATGACTCACCTGGTTGCCTCCACTCTTGGGGTTCACAAACACAAGCAAGGGTTTCATGAGAGGAGAAGAGATAGGTTTTATCACAAAAGGACGACCTTTGTTTTCCTGCTGAAGGAAGAAAACAGCACAACTAAGATGCACATCCATGACTTGACAGGCAGCCCCAAAGCAATTGGAGTGAGAAACCGCCAGCACCACCCCAACCCTTGCAAAAAAAACAAAAAAAAAAACAAAAAAACCCACAAGGTACAACTTGTTTCATAGGGGTTACTCTTAATAGGACACTCTGTGTAAAGCTTAGAAGAAAGTTTCTCAAGGTATAATTTGCTGAGAATTGAGCCATGCTTTTGGTTTTATTCTGTATACCATAAACATTCTGGAAGTGTTAACTCTTTATCATCTTTGGGGTAACACTTCCATGGACAAGTGCAGATGCTCTGTGAAGTGGCAGAGGTTATATTTTTTAAAATACTAAGAATTCCACATGTTAGAGTACAGTGAAGGAGAAAAGAGTGGTGGGAGATCTATCAAAACAACAAGCTTGGGCAGGCTATGGAAAAGAGGATGGATTTCATTGGACCATGATCCTGAAACACTTACTTCAGTTCCCCTTTTACTGGCTTTTCTTTTAAAGCTCGTTCTCTTCTTCTTACGATTGGAAGCCTTCAGCGAGTTCTGTGAGGAGAGAAGGGAAGACCTGAGCTCGGGGCAGACAGCCCCCGAGCTTTCCCATGCAGAACCATGTAGAAGGTGACGGCAGCACATGCTGTTGGACTGCATGCTTCTCATGCTTTGACACTTCCAAGCCACTGTGCATGGGTAAGCCACAGACAGAAATCAGTCGAGTGCTTCAGAGTGAGCAACTGACTCCCCACCACACGGAGAGGCAGGGAGTTAGAACCCTGGAGGCTCTCATGGACTCACATAACAACACATGTTATACCTGCCAACCCTCCCAGTAAAAATGGAAGAATCCCAAATTCTCTGAGGGGCTCCAGTCTCCCGCCCAACCAGGTCCGTCTCCCGCCCAACCAAGTTCAAGTTCAACTCCTGGTATGGAGATCACCTATGTGGAAATGTAAAAAAGGAGGCCATTTTTCATGTTTTTCTTTTTCCTCTGTTTACTTTGTTCTGGGTAATGACTCTTCTAAGTAATGGTCATAACTTACTCATCTGTAATGGAACTTTATGATCCAACTATCCTATCAGCATTGATGACTAGGTTTTAAAATGCAGAGATAAGACTCACCCTTAAGTTAGTAAAGTAGCAGTCATTATTCTTTCTTTCTTTAAAGACCCATTAGTTTAAAAAAGTCTTCCCTCTCCTGGAGCCTTAATTTTTTTTCTTCTCACAAAAGTGCCTCCAACTTGTTGCAATACAGTGACCCCAAATTTACTTTCCCTGTCTTTCTCTTTCTAGGAGTTTTATAGACCACAACTTTGTGATTACTCTTAATATTTGATACATATGCTTTGAAAAGAACTTCTCTTAGGAGGCCAGTCACAGTTCATTTGTTGAAGACCAGCAAAATGAGATTTAATTAGTGGAGTCAATAATTAATTAGATTGCCATCTTCACAAAGCAAGACATTACTACCACATTGCAGATGTTTAACAGAGTGCTGAAAGCCTGAAATACAGAATTCTTAACTTAAAATTTTATATAGTATATACACATGCATTGCTTGAGCAATTAAGAGTTTTCAAACAGCTTGAAGAAAATTAGATCTATTCTTTCATTTAGAGTATTTTTTTCAAAATAAAATTAGTCTAGAGTACATATATTAACACATCCAAATCAGCAAGATGGAAACTATTTAACTTTTATTTTTCTTTCACTTGGACCTCAAGAAAAATAAGTTGATTTATGCCTTTCTCACCAAGGGTGAAGGAAACTTTCTTGAAGCACCATTGTCTCAAAGTTTGTTCCCCCTTCAGAATAAGAGTTTTCAGGTTCTCTGGTTCTCAGCAGAAAAGAGAAATCCAGAGCCCGGGTTACTTCTCATCACTCACTCTAGACTAGCTACCCCTGCAAAGAGATCTCCAAGTTTCTGAATTCTTCTTTAAATGGGTCTATTACCATGTCGCTCTTTGGGGAAACTTTGCCTTATTAAAATATTTGGTATATTTTTTACTACTTTCAGTTCAACTAAAAGGAAAGAAAAATAACTTGGAGCCTTTAAACGTTTAATCAACCAAATGACCCAAGATGAATGCTGGAAACTATTGGTCTGGCCACATCCGTGTCTATTTGATGTCAATTAGGGATGCTGAGTGGTTCTTCACCATCACTGCACATTGGCCTCACCCGGAGAGCTTTTACGAAATGGCCCCAGGAAATATTCTCATTTAATTTATTTGAGTGAAGCTCAGGCAAAGGTACTTTCTAAAAGCTCCCCAGGCAATTCTAACATGTAGCCAGGTTTGAAGTAGAAAGGGAGGAGTAAAGAGACGCATATACTGAGATAAAGCAGAAGATCTGTGGGATAAGGACCATGAGCTGTGGAATCCGACAGACCAGGTGTTAATTCTGGATGTCACGAGATCGGTGCTACTGGATCTGAGACTTTGGCCAAGTCGTTCAAAGTTTCAAAGTAACAGTTTCTTAATTTCAAAATGAAGGTGATAATACCTACCTCAAGCAGAGTTGTGAAGTTTAAATCAGAAAAAGTATGTGAAGCAGTTAGCCTGGTATCCATCCCATGATAAGGACTTCCAAAAATGTTAGTTGCCTCGTTCACAGCTGTATATCCCAGCACCTAGCACAAATGCCTGGCACATAGTATGCACTCAAATCATTGTTGAAATAATGAGTCAGTATTATTCAAATGTACAACACTTGCTGAGTCTCTCCTGATTTTAGAAAGGATCCTTAGGAATTGAATGCCTGTCTGCTAACTTCCTTGTTGTTTCATTTCCTTTATTGCCAAGAGCAATGCAGGACGCACACCAAGTGCTTGCAGGAACACACTATGGTTCTTGGTTCTTGACAGGATTCAATAATTAAACTCTGAGAGAAAGGTCTAATGGATCAGGCTAAGGTTGTTTCCTAAGCTTGCCTGATCATAGAAATCAGAGGTCCTCAGGTGATTCTGACAATCAAACACGTTTGGGAAACAGAGTTAGAAAAACACATCAAAATAAGGCTTGATGTCTGAAAACAGAGCAGGCAGGGAACTCAATTCTGATAGGGAACACACACACAAAACAGCCTTTTTTAACACACGTAGCAAATACAAGTGCTTCTGAGCCTCACCGAGCCAAATGCACCTGAGGCCTTCTTCATCTCACAGAACAAGGGGCAAAGACCAAGCAGTAGTTGACTTACAGTACCTGGACGCCTCTATGAGAGATCTGTGTAAGCTTACAGCCCTACGGATAGTCAAATAGCAAAAGATAAGCAGTATGGAATTTCACAGCACACCTCAAAATTCCCCGGGCTTCCTCTGGCTCCTGTGTAAATATGTGTCTCTGTCTCAATGTAGGACTTCTTTTAGAAGGCAGCATATAGGGAACTGATGGATATGAAGACAGATTTGGGTTGTGTTTTGGCCATGACAAGCCATCTAATCTGGCTAATCCATAACATTGCCTATCCTGCTGGGTCAGCATTGTTGTGAGAGTTAAATAAGAATGTTTGTGAAGAATGTCAAAATTATACTAAGAAGTTATTGGGTAGAATTGTTAGTGATATATTCAAGAAACCTTTAAATACTTGTCCTGTGTTCTAAAACAAAGCATCCCTGTCATCGAGGGCAGCTAACTCCGTGATACAAAGATGAACTTGGCAAGTTCAACACTATCAAAACAGAGAACCATTGTGCTCTCACTTGGATATTTGCATTCTTCTGATTCCAACAGATTCGCCCCACTACATTCGGTGCCCACTCTTTTGTTAAAGTCCTAGTAAAACATAAAGGCTTTTTGTTTTCATACCAGGTATCAGGAAGTCTTACCTTGCTGCAGTAATAATCCTATCAACAAAATCTTTATCATAGTCTGACTCCTTCCTGGACTGCTAAGAAATGCCGATGGGTGAATCACTCAACTGTGAATTATACTTAACTACCTTTTGCTATCCTTCAGGGATTGGTCCAGGCTATGGGATCGCAAAGAATCAGTTATAATAACCATCTAAAGAGAAGATATTCCACTTCTTCATCCCAAATAAAGTCTTTCCCCATGATATACTAAACAAGGCTCTGATGGATAATTGGAGGGAGAATCATGGACTTTGTCTCTTAAAGAGTGTTCTCACTCTGCCCTGCTCCAGCTGCACCCCTGGGACAGAGCTAGTCCTGAGAACAGGCAGGCAGAAGAACAGAGAAAACACATTCCAAAGTTAAGGATAGGGTCTCAGCAGCTTCTCAGGTGTATTTGACTAAATCACAGCGAGTATTACCTAACCTTTAGAACTGACCAAAAGAAATGGCTTGAGAAATTTTGATGGATATTGTTGGTCATTGTTATTAAATGTGGTGAGTCTACAGCATTTTAAGGTTATCCAATTATAAGGAATAAGAAAGGATTCATATGAAGAAGGCCCATACAAGGATAGAAAAGAAGTTGATTGTGGCATTTTTATAAGTAGACTATTGGAAACAATATAAATATTGATCAGTAGGGAGTTGGCTAACTAAACTAATATATTAAACATGCATTCAATCTATATGTACTAACATGGGCTTTTTCCAAAAATTTGGTTGTTGTTGTTGTTTTTCCATTGGGAAAGGTAAGTTTTAAAAGCATTGTGTGTAAAATAATGTCATTTATTAAAAGCACACACCACTGGTCTTCCACAAAAAAAATCATGTAACACAGGTCTTTCCTTCAGCTCCAAGCATTTATACTAGGATTTGAACATCTTTAACTTGTTTATCCAGTCAAAATATTATCCTCTACCATTTTTAGTACAGAGAAGAAACACCGACATCTGTAACATTAAATATAACTTTGGCTGTAAATACACCAACAGATTCAAGCTTGATTCTTAAAATATGATTTTCTTTTAATTTCTTAAAGTCATCTACCTTCTAACATATTTTAACTCCTAGGTCTCTCCAAATAATTTGGTAATGAAACTCAGCACATCATCCAGGCAGCGCTCATTCCCCTTACCATCAAGGTTTCACACAACTCCCAACCGCACAGCTGGTCACGGAGTAATCATCCCCTTGGAGCCAGGGATCTCTCAACAGAGAAGGACAGTATGTGGTTTAATCCCACCTCTTTACAACCTACTTTCCCTGGCCATTATATATTCAAGTAGATTTCCTTGGCTCCTCCTCTCTGGAGTTATTTGTTTAGACACAAGTGTCACAAATAAAACTAACTTTATGTGATGATCCATCTTACTGTTGTTGTCAGTATGTTCTATCAACTTGCATTGTCCTTCCTCATCCCTCTTCCCAATAACAAGCCTTGCATCCTTCAAGACCAAGCACAATGACTTTTTCTTTCTTTCTTTTTTTTTTTTACATAACCTACGCTGATCTCCACAACTGAAATTTCTTAACCCTGCTTCATGTTTCCACCTTGATTCTACATCTTCAGTAGCAATTAGCATTCCCTGCCTTAAACGTATAGGCCTCTCACTGCCATGGCTGCTGATTTAGACAACCTGTCTTGTCCCTTCCTCTCACCATCTTATGAGTGTCTCTCCTGAAAGATGAACATGGATCAAGAAGGCAAACATTCACAGATATCAGAAGTCCACTTTAAAAAAAAAATTGCATGTGGCAAAATTCCTCTTCCAGAATCCACATTCTGCCCAATGATTTGGATTGTTGGGTCTATTTTCAGATTAATATCTAATTCATCTTTGGACCTATATTCATCACTGCATATAGCAGCATCTTTGAATGTGGTTAATGAAGTAAATGTTTCTTTAACACAATTAAGATTATCTTCTCCTTTATCATATTTTAAGCAGTATCATAGAATGCAGACATATATATGCATATAATAATATATATACAGATGTGTGTATGTGTGTGTGTGTGTGTGTGTGTGTGTGGTGTGTGTGTTATATGTATATAATAATATATATACAGATGTACAGATGTGTGTGTGTGTGTGTGTGTGTGTGTGTGTGTTAAAAAACAGACAGCTGTCAGGGGGGAGTGGAAAAGGGGGAACTTGATTAAAGAAGGTGAAGGGATTAACCAAAGAACATATAGTCATAACCCATGAACAAAGATAGCAGTGTGGTGATGGCCAGAGGGAAGGGAGAGACAGGGACTGGGTGGAGGTGGGCAAAAGGGGGGTGGGACTATAGACATCTGTAATAGTGTCAACAACAAAAATAAAGTTAAAAAATAAATTCTAAAAATTGGAAAAGTATTTGATCTGTTCATCTACCTTCCAAATTCTCTCCATCATTTCCCAATGTCTCCAATAAATTTTCTAATCTTACTATTTCCATACCATTGTTAACCGGTTGCAACCCATGCCCCACACTCTACAACTATGGTTTTGATGGCATCAATGATCTTGTCCCAAACACAAGGACTTTTCTCAATCCTTATTGTTGTTGTTTTTTAACATCTGTGACTGCCCTGTATTTCTTCCCATTTCAAATAATGAAATTCTGTGTTATCATAGTTCTCTCCTTATTTTGTAGAACTTTGTCTCCTTCCACTATCTAGATGTAAATGCTTACTCAGTCTTCTTGGGTCCTTGTATTCAGTAAGTGAATAGAACTTGACTGTCTCCCCTGGGGCAGGCATCATGCTAATGAACATGCAATCCCACTGCAGTGGAAAATACACCAGCTACAGTAGGAGTTCAAAGTGCACTTGGGAGCACAGTAGACAGCAGGCTGTGGCCCCTGTTCTGTCTCTTTCTGCTCTCTCCATTAGACATCTCATGTTCTTTCCATCCCCTTTCATTGCAATACATGGGTCAGGGATCAATAACTTCTGTCCTGACCCCTGTGTGATTGTCCAACGTTTTCATCTGCTGATGCACAGCTTTGCTCGATACCCTGTACTCCTACAAGTCAACAAGAAGGAAAACAAGAGCTAACATCTATTGAGTGTTTACAATGAGCCAGGTGCTAGTCTATGCACTATATCTTTTTTGTTTTTTAGCTCATTAGTCCTCATGAAAACCCTATGCATTAGGTACTAGTATCATTTTGCAGATGAGAAGTTGAAACAGAAAGGTTTAAGTTGTCTGCAATTATACAGGTTATTAAGTGGCAGAGCAAGGTTATGAATCTAGGGCCAGTGGTTCTCAACCTTCCTAATGCCGCAACCCTTTAATACAGTTCCTCATGTTGTGGTGACCCCCAACCATAAAATTATTTTCGTTGCGAATTCATAACTGTAATTTTGCTACTGTTATGAATCGTAATGTAAATATCTGATATGCAGGATGTATTTTCAGGGGTCGCGACCCACAGGTTGAGAAGCGCTGATGGGCAATCTAACGCATAAACTAGAGCACTTTACCATTACTTTATTACTGCCCAAGCTCATCATCCATTAGCTTTTACATAGAATTTAGTTAATTGATTAAAGTACTAAATTTAATCAATTAACTAAAGAAGAGGGACTACCCCAATTTTTAAAAATATCAGATTCAGGAAGGGTTGCTGTAGAGTAAAACAGTGAATGGCATGGCACATCACAAAGAACTTGATTTCCAGAATCAGAATTCCTGGGATTAAATGCCACTTCAAAGTATTTACTATCTATATCAGGGGTCCTCAAACTTTTTAAACAGGGGGCCAGTTCACTGTCCCTCAGACCACTGGAGGGCCGGACTATAGTTTAAAAAAAAACTATGAACAAATTCCTATGCACACTGCACATATCTTATTTTGAAGTAAAAAAAACAAAACGGGAAGAAATACAATATTTGTATTAGCATGTGGCCTGCGGGCCATAGTTTGAGGACCCCTGATCTATATGGACCCAGGAAATTTGACTTCTCTGTTCCTCACTTCCTCAGCTATAAAGTAGGAATAACAAGATACCGGTCTCATAGGGTACTGTGATGACAGAATGAGATAGTGAATGTAAAGTAAATGTTTCTGAACATATAAATGTTAGCTCTCCTAATTCTTATTATAATATCCTGAATCCTAGAAGACAATAAAAAGGTACGTAATAAAAAAAATTGGATTATTGCATCCAGATAGTGAACTGTAAATAACATCTCCCATTAAAAGTAACCAGAGCTCCTTAGAGAAATGGCTGATCACAGGTATGAACAGGAAACGCACAAGATAATCCTGGCACATGATGTGATTACTGAAACCAAGGAAGCTAGCAAAAACTTCATGGCTCATAAAATATGGAGACAGGAGTCACCTGGAAGAGGTCCTAATTGGTCAAATATGGAACAATATGAATATAAGAATAATAATGATGCCAGTGAATTAAAACACATTATATGCCATATATATCACACAATGATATAGGTTCATAATTCAAAATTATACTCTGCAAGACAACCACCACAACCATCACCACTCTTGGCCACGTAATAAAAGTTGCTAACATGGTAACTTATTATTTCTTCTGAAAATTTACAAATAAAGGCAAATACTCAAGCATTTGTAATGTACTTGCTGGTAATAAGGGAACAGTCTCTTTATAGGAAAATCATAGCCAAAAAAATGAAGAGTAAAAATTGGGAAGTCACCCTTTGGCAACCCTAAAGAAATGACAACATAGGTAATAATACTTATTAGATAAAACAATAGGTGAAAGGCTGATGGACAACTTTATGACAGATGAATTAGGATGACAGTTCCTGAACTTACTGGCCAACCTTCACATCACTAAAAGTTAGCAACGTGACAGAAATACATATCATCACCCCTGAATTAAACCTGAATCTAATTAAGTTTAAGTATTATTTTACAAGAAATAGGGGCCTTCCGTGAAATAATTTTAAAACAATATAAGGATACAATCAACAAAAATAAAAATCTGAGAAATTCCACAGATACAGTGATCCAATTTATTCAATAAATGGCATGAAAAATAAAAGAGGGGATTGTTACAGATTAAAAGAGACTTACAATATGTCACCAAAAAAGCACCTGTGACCTCTGGATCTTGATTTGAAAAAGATAACTGTGAAAAAAATTTTTTGAGCCCTGGCCTGTGTTCTCAGTGGTTAGAGTGTAACACAAACCCACCCACCCCACCCCCGCACCAAAGGGCTGCAGGTCCAATTCCTGGTCAAGGGCATGAACCTGGGTTGCAGGTTTGCTCCCAGCCTTCAGCCAGGGTGCATGCAAGAGGCAACCAATCAATATGTGTCTCACATCGATGATGTTTCTCTCTATCTCTCTCTTTCTCTATCTCTATCTCTCCCCTACCTTTGACTTTCTTTGAAAAGCAATGGAAAAAATGTCTTCATGTGAGGATTAGCAAACAAACTATATAT